CAAGTGTCATACATTAGAGATTTGAAGATTCTTAGGACCAAATACATACAGTTGAACTTCTACTCCTCCTGATCAACCTGCAGTTGTTGCTTAACACCATGCCAGGTTGCAGAATTAAATCAGGAAAAAGAGTGATCCTTGGGGTAACTGTGCATCAGTCATCATTGATATATTGGAACCCATCAGATCGAATGGTGAAACTTTGCTGGACAGAAAATACCCAGAAAAGCTCTTAAGCCTATGCCTAAAACTATACTGATGGTTGGATTTGGCTTGCAGTGCAACATGCAACAATGCAAAAGGACCAGGTTGATAAGAGTGGAAAAATTACACATCAGGCCAGCAAGAGAGAGGGCTTAGCTAGCGCTGCCATCAGCAGAAGACTCTCCAAGCAATCAAAGGCGATTTTGCCACAGTGAAACTTCTGGGGAGGAACTTTTAATGGGATAAACATGGCTGCCCAAAGTGGAAGGGCAGTTGGAACTGACCTGTGCTCCAGATTCCCTGTCTGGGGGTGGTGAGAGTCCCCTTGGCTTACGCCTTGGGGCGGGATTTGGTTGGTGTGGGAAAGCCCAGGCTCAGAGGCATGGGATGCCCTGCTGCAAAAACACAATATATAATAGGAAAAAAACTAAGCCAAAATTTATATCATTTATAACAATGAGGAAGATGCACACCTAGAGGCAAAGTTAGTACAAATTAATGAGGAAAGCTAGTACAACTATCCAGGAAATTAATTCATTATGACATGCTTTAACACATGCTGTTATGCATTCTTATTCTACAGAACTATCCATCTGCAGTTCCAGAAAAGACTTGTTGATATCTTATTTTCATCAAACTAAAGATGTAGTACATTTTACTGCATCAATTTAAAATTGGCAAAGAAAAATTAGTCCCCAAGAAATTGTCTTACACCTAAATAATGTTAGTCTGTCCCACTAACACATCAAAGAACTTGAACGCTTTATAGGAATGACATTTGAGAGCAACTAGGCAATGCATTTAAGTACTATCAATAATTATTTCACCGAATTCCCCAGGAGCATCTGGCAGGGGCAAGGGTTCACTGGCTAGATTTGGACTGTGTTGTAAATTAGGGTCAGCTGTGTCAGGAACGAACCTACCCTTCCCTGTCTCATGTTGCAGCTTTCTCCCTCTGACCAGGAAGAGGATGACATCATCATCATCTATTTCTTTAATTTCTATACCACCCAATAGTTGAAGCTCTCTGGGTGGTATATAAGATGGTGCAGACAAGTTTAGAATTCGGATTTTGCTGAATGGCAGCTTGCCATATTGTCCAAATCTGATAAACTGTAGGGATTTGTTTGCTACAAGTCAACCCCACATTGTGGTTAACTGAAATCACAAGCAACATCTTGCAAACTCCTCATTGCCTTGCTGGAGCAGGAAAGGTTGGAGGAAAGCAAGGTGCATTCCAAACTCAGCCAGTATACCAGAAAAACCAGGTGGCTTCACCAACTCGGTAACGGGGGAAGGATTATAACCATGCAGCGCACCGTTTTTGATATACTAGGTATCACAGGGTTGTAGATGATTTGTTATAGCCTTTCTGATTCACTGAGAGCAACTTCTCCTTTGGCTCATTTTGAAGTGGCATCAGTAACAGGCAGGTCATCCTGTTTGGCAGGCCAAGGCAACCGCATGCTCACAAAAAGCCTATGTGTCAATGTGTGGCTAGACATGTGTATATGCAGATGCTCGATTTAATGGCACTGCACAAAGAATGCAAATTGTTTTAGTAAAACCTACCTAGCAATGCATAATTGCCTAGTAGAGTGTATTATTGCATGTAGTATGAAACTTCCAGGCAAACTGGCGCATAGGAAAGCCCACAGGCTTTCCTGCACTTCTAGCATCTTTGGGAAAGATTGCTTGGGGCCAATATTATTCCAAACATCTTATTGAAAATGTGCATCTAATAGGACACAAAGCATATGGGAGATTAGGACATATCCAGATAACAGATGTTTGAGGTAAGAGATATGACTTTGCTGTATAGCTATTAAAATGCATTTTAGAAGGTGCTAAGAAAAGGGATTGGCTCCAGAATACATCACATGATCCTGAATGTGTCCTTGATAGGTCTCCTCAAATAACCTTTCCTTTATTTAAAAAACTGACAACATTAATGGGCAGAAAAGTATCATTTTTATCATTATAAATGAATATTGCATTCGTGTTCCTGTCTAATCTTCCTGCTGCTGTTGCTGTGGCAGCACAGCTTTAATAATTCACTTTAATGGCTACTAAACACATTTTATCTAGTCATTCAGGAAATACTTTTTGACAGAAGTAAACAGATTATGGACAGCTGATACCAAGAATGGTGCAGTACCCAAGGTGGGACTTCGGGGCAACAGGCAAGGATGACCGGATAGTCCGAAAGGGAAAATCCGAAGGATCAGCCAGAGAAATAGTTCTGAGGCTGGACTTGTGGCAGGCAGTGGTATTTGCCCTCCAGTCACCTCAGTTACTGGAAAAACTGCTGGAAACAATTGCTGCTGGAAACAATTAAGAAACTAATTTATCCCACTAGGACACAACCCTATACCTAGAATCATAGAATAGTAGAGTTGGAAGGGGCCATGAAGGCCATCGGGTCCAACCCCCTGCTGGACACCAAGTTGCACCATTCCACTCAGATGGCTGTCCAGTTCCTTTTTTAATGTCTCTAGCCCCCCACCTCTCTAGGCAGCTGGTTCCACTATTGTAGTGCTCTGACAGTGAGGAAGCTTTTCCTGATGTCCAGCCTGAATCTGGGTTGTCATAACTTGAACTGATTATTCTGTGTCCTGCACTCTGGCATCAGCAAGAAGAGATCTTGACCTTCCTCTTTGTGACAGCCTTTGAGGTACTTATAGAGGGATATCATGAAAGTGAGTCCCACTGAATACATGGGATCCATCAGAATTGCACTGATGGATCCATTAAAAAAAAAACCCTGGATAGTTCTGCACAAGCTGGAGTGAGCACATGTGCTGGTTCCTGCTTCTGAAAGCAGCACAACAACCTAGAGATAATTTGTTCTTGAATTAGCATGATGAACCAGCCAGGACACCTGGATGCCTGGGCAGAAACTACCCAGAGCTATAAAACCATGGTTAAACTATATATTGCAGCTTATCTCTTCCCCAATAACCCAGTGATTGTGGTTCACACACCATACTTCACAACAGAGGGGACAGAAAGGTCAGGAGGGAGGAAGCTCACTTGTTCCTGTTTTGATCACAAAACAGGCGTTGCGGTACCTGAAGGAAGCTATATTGTCATTATATGGCTTGGTCACCAGACAGCACTGGATTTCACTGCATGTGGGGTGAGGTCAGGGATTCAGTTCTTGTTTAAGAAAGATAGCCAAGTGCTTATAAGCCTGCCATGGCTGATGTAAAGCAAGTTCCTCAAAGCTTCACTTTTATACAGATTTTTCAGACAGCAAATCACGTGTGGCGAACTCATCTCTGTCGATAAGGGGAAAAAAGGCATTTGGGGGATTACAGAGCACACTAAATTCTCCCCGAAGAGTCTCCCCCTTATTTTTAGAGTGAAGAAGATTGTCTCTTTCCTGAAAAGGTGTGTGTTTATGAATTCTCAGACTGTGTAAGAAAACAGGGCAGGTACAAGATAGTGTTACATCTGAGTCACGTTGGACAGACACATCCTTTTGCAGTTTTTTAAACTCTGATAATAACTTTTTCAAAGGAATGGGGAGGTACAACATTAATCCTCTGGACATAAAAAAGAGGACTGCACAAATGTTGTTAGGTGTCTGATGTACACAAAACATTCCACAAAGCAGAGTATCCCATTCATTTGAATGGGCCCCTTTGGATGCCACTGTTTAAAACCCGGTTTGTTGTGAATGAGTGGGAGAAAGTAAGGCTGCTGTCTCCCACTGCCTGCTCGTTTCTGCTGGGGCCAAGCAACCCAGGGTTGCTTAATCCCTAGTTTGTTTAGCAGGATGCTCAAATCAGGAATTCTGAGTTATTAGGGAAGAGTTGGGACCCATGATTCCCCCAACACCCCAAATACCTGGTTCAGACATCAAGCTAAACAACAGAAGCATGGATTGTTCTGCTCTCCTGATTTGCAGTTGGAGCCTATCCAGAAGGATCCCATGGTCAATGTTATTGGAAAGCAGCTGAGAAGTGCAGAAGAACCAACAGCATCCCATCTTTCTCCTGGCAAAGGTCATTCCACAGGGCAACAAAGGCAGGGTCCATTCTGAAAGCAGGTCTGAAGCCCAGTGGAAGTGGGAAGCAGCTGCTCCCTCTTCATTCACATCCAGACCAGGCCACTATTAAGAAGTGCTCGTGCAAAGATTTTATTCCCAACAAAGCACATTAAGTATGCATGGAGCATGGTATGTGCCCCAGAGATATTGTGCGGCATAGTGGCTGTGTGCTCACTGGAGATTTTGGGTCAGGGCAAATGCAGTTCGGGCCAGAATACAACTCCCCTGGTTCAGGTTGTAACGGAGATAACAGAATGCGGCAGACACATCTGTTTTACAGTCCATCCTGCTAACTGAGCACAGATAAAGTTTAACAAATTAGCTGCATTTCTAGACACATCATGATGAGTGGAAAGGGGCAAAAATCTGGCTGAAGAATATTATGCACAGCAGATGCTCCTGTATAGTTTCCCAACAAGAATACTCTCCCCAAAACTGTAATTTGCTCCCAAAAGTGACAATGCAACAACAGTACAATTTCAGGGGAATGGTTACCATTGCTAAGTATTGTTGTAAAGAAGGTAAAACCTATGTGGATAAAGTAGGTGATTTAAGCAATACAGGGGGAACAAAATCAATCTGTTACCACACCGTTTACCATTCTTTACTTTCAGTCACAATAGAAGTAACTTCTGCAGAGTCCAGTTCAAATACTTAGTGAGAAGGAACTGAAACCCAATTACGGACAGTTTCCCTGATTTTTGTTTTTATTTTTATTTTCCAGCTAGAAGGTCAAACTTACTCAGTTGAATTAGATCGTGGCCTAAATCTTTTGCCTTTCACCTTTTTTCTGTTGCCACCTATATTACCTGAAAAAGATCAAAGGATAAGACAGTGAAAAACAATTTCTATAGAACGCAGGAAAGCGGCAGCTCAGAAGACATTCATATTGGGTTCAATCCAGAATGATCAGGCTTAGAAAAGACCCAGTGAAATCACGGTGACAGTCAGTCAGGCCTAGCTGCTGTTCCACTGAGTTCAATGGGTCTGCTGTACGTAAACTGGGATCCAGCTTGTTTACTCTTCTTCTGCCCTTCCTTTCACTCCCCAACCCTCCCAAGCCTCACCTGGAGATGCCAGGGACTGAGGCTGAGTATGTGCTCAGCATGTGTTTTACACCAGAACACCCCTTGCACGTGAAAGGTGCCAGATTCAGTCCATGACAGCTCCTGGTAGTGTCTGGAGATAATCCAGTCAAAAAGCTTCAAAAACAATTGACAGACCAAGTAAACCTGAGCTTGATGGACCCATGATCTGACTTACTTCCCAAAAACATCTGTTTTAGCTATCTCTTCAGCTTTCCTCCTCCTCCTTTTAAAAAACAACTAAACTCATACTTTCCAAATGGAGCTATAGTAAGAAATCTACCAATGTCTGTAGTGAGATTTGTCATGACACAGCAATGCACTCAAATAATTCTAATTAGAAGAAAGTGACCTTACAGACCTGTGCAGATTCTACCAAATCAATATTGTATGTTTTCACAATGTGCTCTACTCAAGAGTATATAGCAGTGGCCCAGCACGTATGAGTGACCTGATGGCTCAGGAACACCATTTTCCCCTCTAGCTGCCTTTGGACCATGATTTAGCAAGTGCTGTATACACACAGACAGTAGCCAGCATTTGGAATGCAATAGTTTTCCAAATCTTGGTTGAAGGAAAGCAACACCATGCGTGTATCCTTGTGCACATAACTGACCTTAACACACAGAAAATGAACACAATAGAAGCAGAATTCCCTGTTTGATGGAGAGGAGAGATAGACTTTGGGTTCCCAGTTAGCAGGCCACAGTGCTACATATCAAGACACCATCAGCTCTGCAATGGGAACACAATTGTCTTCCTAACCTTGCCATGAGTTACTCCGTGGTCTCCCATTTTGACAGATGTCCGAAAGGTTCTTCGCATCTTGGATTCTTTCACTCCATGAATGAGATAATCCGTTTGACCTGGAGCAAATGGTAAAACTTGAGTGAGATTTTCAGCCTCCACCAATTTAAGCTTTGAGTTATGTTATCGTTCAACTGGCTGATGCTTTAAGTTGAGATAATGTAAAGGTCTGTCTACAGCACCTGACAAAGCTGCATAAATTGGCAGCCCTTGTAGCTCTTTCATGGTAGCTGGGGATGATGGAAATTGCAGACTAACACATCTGGAGGACAGCAAGATGAAGAAGGCTAGGGCACACACATTCACTCCCTACTGACTGTGCTTCCTAGAGTGTAGAGATTCTAATCTGGCCTCCACAGTCACATGAGTCTGCTGCTCTGTCTTGCTGCTCGGTCAAGAGGTTGCCCAAGGAAAAGTGCCAGCCAGGAGGCTTCACTCTTCCACTACGAGGTGCAAAGAGGGTGTCTTCACACGTCCCTCTGGAAAATGGGCTAGACAGGCAGCACAGCATCATCTGGGACCAAAACTAAAAAAGGAAGCAAGTTTCTCAAACCCCTGGCAGAGATGCAACCCAGTCCTTTTGCCCTTTGGGTTTCCCTTGAAGAAAACCAAATAGAAAGCCATGATTTTGCCAGGGAAAAGATTTTGTTTCTTCTCCTTCTTCTGCCCAGCTGAGTTCTCTCTTCCTACTTTGTTTCCCCCAGAAGAAAACTGAGCCAGAAGTGGCAGGTGCTGACTTTCTAATACAAGATGCAACTGAACTCAAACCCACCTATGGATCTCATGTGAACTGGCTTATGGAAATCAAGGGTTGCCAACCACTTTATGGATTGCTAATGATTATACTTTATGCCTTAGAACAACCTGCTTCTACTCAGCCCCCTCCAAATGTTTTAGACTGAAGTTCCTGTGATCCCCAGAGAGCAGAACTTTGACCCTCTTGGCTGGAGTTGTGGTTCAGAATATCTGAAGGCCTCCAGATTGAGGAAGGCTTCCCTAATTTTTCTTTTCCTTTTTCTGCCTAAGACAATATAAGGTATAAAGGACTGGTTCCAACAGACTTAATTTTCTAATCATTATTTTACTTTTGATATCTGAAACTTTTGGTAAAGGTCATTGACTTGTTTGAAGCTAAGCACCTGTTATACAAGTTATGGGCCATATTGAAACAAAAGCATGATACTGCTTTTTTAGTGTAGACAGACCTTAAGAATTTTGCAACATTATACAATAAAGAACGAACAAGTGACTGAAATGAAGAATCAATGGAAACATGGGAAGAGGAAAAATACAGCACATGAAATTTAAGCAATACCAATTTCAAAAGTCAAACAACGTTGTTTAAAAGTCAAACAACGGCTTCCTGGGGGAATGAAAATTCACTTCATCATGCAGATATGAAACCTATATTAAACAAAACCTTGGGACACTAATTTTCAAAGGATTCTGTACAATTGAGCTAGCTGAGAAGTCAGGAGCAAATTAAACTGCATTATTTGACTATGATTCTCAAAAAAACTTTAATTCTTCCACAAACATAAACCTTAATAATCAAGAAACTCAGGACTGACTCAAAGCTATTTCTCAATTATCTGTCAGAATGTCACCAACATAGAGAAACCTTTGGTATTAATTAGACACCAGCATCAGCAGTATATACACACCATTTAACTACTCCCTGTAACATTTAAATAGACAAAATGCTCTTCCTTTTTTCTCTTTTCAGTTTTTTTAAACCACCAGAATTGAGGTTTGTAAATTGGATAATTGAGGTCTGTTCATTATTACTATTACATGATAGTTCTTGTAAAGCATTTTTAAATGCTGTTTAAAAAGAAATTTTATAATTGAAATTTCACTGCATAAAAAGAAGAGGAAGTTACAGATCCAAGTGGCCTTGTTACACTTTTCATGAAAATCCAAATGGACTGAGATGAGCTCATTATTTTAAAATGGAGCATATGACTTCTTTTATGGAATGGAGTGATACACGGCCCAGTGTCTCAACTCATGTGCCAAGCTTCAGATCCTCCACAGTACTCCCTGTGCCCAGAGTATAGGTTTCCTTTCATAGGTGAGGGCAAGAAATTTTGTCTTCCATGGGGCACAGTATTACCTTTAGCAGGATCAAGGAACTGACCATGCTTCTATGGCCTGATCTAGAACACAACTGTCCCCCTCACCCATGGGCGACTAGTTAACCTAGAACCATGCAAAAGCACAACCCCATGGAGGCCAGTTGTGGAAGAGGTTTCCCATGGAGTTCAGTCATGCCGTCACAACCTTGGCCAACTGCATGGAAAGTCACAAAGAGTAGTTTTCCCTATGTGGGGGCACACACACACACACCATATATCCACCCACAGGGATTGCTGTGTTCATAAACCATGACTTCTTGAGTCAGTAAACAGAAAGATAAATGCAAGCTGGAAGTGCTCATTAAGGCAAGTTATTACGAATAAAAAGAAGCAGAGCAAACAGATGACAAAATACAGCACTTATGCTCTAACATTTCTATTAATCCATTAACTTCATAACTGTTAATGAAAGTACAACATCCTCCTTCTTTGATTACTTGATCATGATATAAAATTTATGGTAATGTGTGTAATGGTGCCCCCCCACATATCAAATTCATCGATCGTAGTTGGAAAGAACTTCCTGCTCAATGCAAGATTTAAAATGCAGGATGCAACTACAAGTACAGCATCTCTGACAGATGGCTGCCCACCCTCTGCTTAAATGCCTCCAGCAAATGTTTTCTTAGATATCTCAGCACACATTATAAACAGCAAATTAAATTACTTCCAAGCAGAAGGAAGTGAGTATCAGACCTGGGGCAGGACTATCAGTGGGAATCAATCCCAAGGAAACATAGATAGGGTTGAACTAGAATCATAGATAATTATGAGTTGCTCCCATCTGACTCAACCATCAAAATGCGTACCTTTCCTGGCAGGCTGAGAAATAATTTTAGAACCCGAAATATGGAAGGGAATTCCAAACCACAGAACAAGATCCGTAATCAAAGACTGAGGGAAGTCACTTTTTAATACAATCCACAAAAGGAAGGAAGGAAGTAATCAAACCTGCTGCAAAACAATGAAAGGTTCTGACTAATGGAATAATGTGTGATGGAACAGGTAGAAATCTGAAAATGCGACAGAAAAGCAGACCTCTTCTTAGAACTAGATGCAGAGTTTGTGCTGACTCCCGGAGGCATGTCGCTATAAAAAGAGTCGGCCTCACCAGGCTTTTTTACATAATCTCCCTGAGGAATTTGTCTAAAGCATAATGAACATTTTCAAGTCAGAAACAAAACAAAAAACCATGCATATACTGAATATATAAACAAACACATTTCATATACATATACAAAGCACAGGAAAAGGAATCAAAGAGGAGACTAAGATATTTTCACAAAGATATGTAAGTAAGAGACTCAAGATTACAGAAGAAAACAGGTTTAGGATGCAATCCTATGCATGCAGGCTGGGATTGCTGGGTGGGGTGTTTTTCTGACTGAATTCACAAAGGATTGCATCCTTGTGTTCTGTAATATGGGAACGCAGTCTCTGAGATACTTAAACGTCTAATTAAGATATGCATCCATCATACTGAACCAATGCAGCCTAAAAGAAACAACTTCACGAAATTTAATTTGGAACCCCTTGGCAGTGAGGATCCAGCTCAGCTAGGTTCTGAATCCTGTTGAGTCCATACTCTTTCCTATTCCCAGCCTGTTCACATGTCTTCCTCACCCCAACACACACACAACGTTTCCTCTCCTATGTCTCCTGATCAGTTGGAAGAAATGGTAGAAGCAGTCCCTGGAATTAATAGGGAGGGACTAGAGGGGTCTCTGTCAGGTCTGCTTGCAAACAGAACAACTGGAGCATTTGTGCTTAGTAATCACAAAGGGCTTTGCCTGGCCACTTTCCTCCAAACCAGCGAAACAACCAACCTTGCTCATTTTTTTCTTACATTTTGTTAGAGAGATATCAAGGAAAGCTCTCTGCACTCTGTCCTACAGAAGCCAGAACTGTGTGTGTGTGTGGGCTTCAAAGGTATTTATATCTATAAAAAAGAATCCAAAATGCTAGTTTCTGGGATGGGACACAGAAAGAACTCCAGTGGCGTGTTCCTATCTAGAAACGAATGTTTCCGCTTGTTTCTGGGGATATTTTCAGAAGTGTAAGAATCCTGTTGCTCAAGTAGTTGCTTGCATGGTTACTATGGAACCAGTGAAAGTGGAGTAGCTCATTGGCTGCTGCTGGATGAGCTCAGCCAGAATTGTCTTTATGGCAATGCCATGTGATGACTTCTTAAGCCAGTTCCGAGTAAGGGCTATGCGTGTGCTTTTGTGTTTACGTATGACACCAAGCAGGAGCCAGCCGTGTGACGGCCAAAAGGTAAGTTGGTGGGTTGTAAGGTGGCTTTATGAAAATTCTCTCCCACTCATTTTTAAAGAAAAAAATGTCTGTGTCTAAAGTTGAATTGTAGAAAGTTGTACGTTTGCTTGACTTTACACTGCTGTCAAAGCGAACACACATGGTGTTATCCCAGAGAGCAAATTCCCTTCACCGCTGTCCTTTATTTAATTTGTGTCACATAAAGCGGTGAAAGGGATTTGCTTTTGAGGCAATGTCTTGAAGGACAATAGTTGTAATGTCAAAAAAGTGCTCAACTGAAAGTTCTTCTTAGGAACTGCAAGTGGAGGTCGGAGGTGGGGCGCAGCGTTCACAAAACCACCTTGCAGCTCACCCAGTTCTCTCTTTCCTGTCACCAGTTCTATAGTCCTAGAGGCTGCAGTGATCACACCACGAGCTCCTGCTTGATGACATTACATTTAAATCCCATCTTGTTTTCTTTTTGAGAGGAACCCAAGATCTTGCATAGTTCTACTTCATTGCATTTTTATGCTGACAACAACAAACCTGTAAGGTAGGTTAGACTAAGAGTCCATGACCATCCTAAAGTCACCCAGTAAGCTTTATGGCTGAAGCAGCAACTAGTTGCCTTATTTCCCAGGTCCCCATTCCAACACCCTACCAACTCGTTCTCTCTCTCTCTCTCTCACACACACACACACACACACACACACACATGCATGCACACACGTGCACATTGTCCTCACTCTGAGGTGGCTTCAGCAGTCATCACAAGGCATCACCATAAAGACAACTCTGACTGAGGACATTGTGTGACGTCTGCTGGAGGCCGCCTTCCTCCATGGTTGCATTGTATTCCCAGGGGGAAATGCTTATGCAACCAGTTTTTCATGTTTCCAAAAACTATCCCCAAAACAAGCAGAAACAGTCCTTTCCAGATGGGATGCATCAAGGTTGCTCCCTTCCATGAGCTCTGCTGACCTGTTGTGCCCTGGAAAGTAGCATTTCTACTTGTTTGGGGTCATTTCTAGACATCCGAAAGCTCCCCTGTGCAAATGGTCTCTCCCAAGCACACTTGGGCACAAGAGGATACCACCCAGTGTTTCCAGTCTTCACTCTAGGGCTATGTGGCTTCAGTCTCTCCACCCTTCCCCCCAGCAAAGCAATCCTATGGACTAAACCAAACCTGCACTCAGAGGCAACTCAGAGTGGGATCCTACATGGCTATTTGAATGCCTCCCATGAAGTATCAACAAAATCCAGAATTTGAATAAAAAGCAAACACAGAGGCAAGTATAAAAGGAATGCTATTAGAGTCCAGGTAATTAAAAAATGTATGGACAAGTCCTCTGATATAGCATGTACAACTTATTTTCATCTGAGCATAAAGCTCAACATAGTGACTGTCAAGAAAATCAAGGCATAATAGAAAATAGGATCTGAGAGGTTTTTCCTCTAAAGAAAAAAGGGTAGTAGTAGGGAAATCCGAGTGTTAAGAACAGAATACATGAAGACTACAAAAAGAGGAGCCAGTTCAACTGATCAAATGGCAGCCACAGCTCCATGTTGCGCAAAAAGCACCTGACTGAGGTGAATATGGAAGTCTGAGCCATATACAGTAATTTCTACTATTGCTTATTTGATATGCATATCCCCAGGTAAATAATAAACCAGGACCACCGCTGCACACATGCTGAAACAACGTGGCCACACTGCTTTTTCACATACCTCTGTCTTCGATAGTTTCTTACAAGTGGAGGGAAGAGAGATAAAGAGTAAGTTACCACTTTGCATTTGCTTTCACTTTGTTCAGTGTAATAAAGCAATGGGGTGGATCCTATGCCTGGTGTGGAAATAGTGGACAGGGAGACGTTTTTCTCCTTCCCATAATGCCAGGATCCAGTGGGGTCATCCCAGAAATTTGCTCAGCTTTAGAAAGGGATTGGACACATTCACGGAGGACAAGGCTGTCCATCGCTCTTAGCCCTGCTGGTTTCATGTTCTCTCTAGACTCAGAGGCAGGATGCCTACAGATCTATGCAGATGGCTGTGAACATGGGTGCTGCCACACATGCCTTTCGCTTGTGGGTTTTCCATGGACAGCTGGTTGGCTACCGTGCAAACAGAATGCTGAGCTAGATGGGCTCTGGTCTGACTCGGCAAGCTGCCCTGTATGTGCTTATAAACTACAAGCAGATTGGCACCCACGGGATGAAGCATTCCTTTACCTCCTTTCCCACGGCAGCACCTTGTCCCCAGCCCTTACTTACAGCTGCTCCAGCATCTCTTGGGACCCTCGGGAACAGCCTAGGATCTGCAGGGCGACTGCATTAGTAGCGGAAGTGAAGACTTACTTTTGAGCAAACAGAAGCACCTTCCACTCATGAGGCCCAGCCTTAGGACTCGGACCCACAGATACAAAATGTGTTTTTGTTTTGTTTTTTAACTACCAACATCCGTATTTTTGGCCTTTCCCAAGCAATTTGTATTTTCTCTGGTAAGAGCAAACATAATTCATGACCTTATGAGAAAATGGATGTGATGAAGCATCGGTACTACGTTTCAAATATGTACTATGAGTTTAGGAAGACTCTTTTAGAGAAAGGAACCTCTGCTTTTCAAAACTTCTTGGACAATATGAGCTTATAAATATTCATGCTCTTTGGATCGGGAATAGGAAACTTTGGATGTTCTGGAAACTAGTTTCCAGACCCACATGAAATTCAGCAGTACAAAAAGCAGTGACAAAAAGATAATCAATTTATCACTAAAATTCAGGAGCTAACTATGATGGAGATGCAGAAGGATTGTATTTCAACTGAAAACAGACTCACCTGGGTACTTCTGAGACACCAATCAGTTTGCCCCTGAATGTTAGCAACAAATTGCTAAAAAACAACACCCACAGACTGATGCCATATGGGGAGCAGTGGGGGCCACAAGCAAGTCCATGGGGGCACCCTGGGGGCAATTGAGAGAGAATAAATCTCCTTTGCTACTTTTCAAGTGTTATATCATAAGCAGAGTTACAATCATTGGATTGGCCATTAAGAAAGTAGGAAGAGCCCCGTTTGTCAAAATGGTTTGTCAATGAAATGCAGCATCCTGTTTGCCACAGCAGCCAGCCAGACATTCCCAGGAAAATAACAGGACATGAAGGCAACAGCTTGCCTCGCTTTTGGCTCCCCAGCAACTGCCATTTAGAGGCACACAGACTCTTTACTCTCTGGAGTCCCAGGTCTGAGGGGGTCCTGGGCAAGATGCCCTCTTGGTGGAGCCTCAACGCTTGGCAGGCTCCTAAGGACTTAACCACAAAAGAATCTTCAGGCAGTGTTGGGTAGCAGCCGTGGTCCAAGCATCTGCTCTAAGTGCCATTTAAATTTCACACAATGCCTCTGCCATAGTGATGCTCTGCAGTGGACAGGCCCACTTTCAGGCTTTTTTGTTTTCAAAGTGGCATTAGCCTAGCCACAAATGCTGCCATGGCTGATGGGTCCATTTAGCAAACATAGATAGCAGCTGCTAATAGGACTAGCTTCCACATATTTACCTAATCTTCCTTCTTAAACCCATCATAGCAGTGGCCATTAATATATCCAATGGCAACATATTCTGTGTCATTAATTATGGATCGTGTGATCAAATGCAGTGGGGGATCTCCATCTTTTGGAAATCAATTTCATTGGGTGAAACCAAGTTCTAAGAGGAAGAAAAAGTTCTCTCTATTTACTTTGTCCACATCATTCTTAATTGTATTTCTTATTTTATGCATGGTGTTCAAGACTTTGGATCCTGAAACAAAGTTACCTGGAGGTGTCTTTGATTTTAAGGAGACACACTCCCAGTAAGTTCAGGATCATTGCATGAGTTCAATAGACCTTTAAAGCTGTATCTCCAATAACGTTTATCTCCAATGGATCTTCACGAGGGTAGGAACTAGTATTCATAATCCTTCAGCCATGCTGGCTGGGCCTTTTGGGAATTATAGTCCCAAACATCTGAAAGACGCCAAGTTGTCTACCCAGGCATAGAGAAACTTAAATACTGCTGCACAAGAAATACCACCCACCATTCTTGAATAAATCACCAACTTATGTTTGAAACGACTGACTTGATCAGCCTCCCCTAACCTGGCACCCTCCAGATGTGTTGGATTGGAACTCCCATAATCCCCAGCCCACTTGGGCATGCTGTTTAGGAATTATGGGAGTTGCAATGCAAAATTTCTGGAGGGCGCCATATCAAGGAAGACTGCACTGGATAGTCACTATTAAAAATACCATTTTTACGACAAGTTGATATTAAAGTACCTGGACACAGGAAGTCTAGCCAGGTAATGATTTACAGAGAAGTAAAGCAGAAGCATGTTATAAGCTGCCTCAAGTGTAATTGGCTTATATAAAGCAAAGTGCCATAAAATCAGTCAACAACATAAAAGGGATAAAACAGTGAATGGTTACATTCACTGCTCCCTTCCTGTGCCTTTTGATCAGTGAAACCAAGTATAATATTTTCTTTCATCAAGATGGTTCAATAATGCATGCTGCCAGCAGCTAGTAGCCCACGCAGATGTCTGTGAAATACATGAATATATAAATCACTTACTTGTAACCCCATGCAGTGATGCCCAAAATCAGAGCCAATACTAGAATGGAACCAGCAATAGCACCTATAATAATATTTGTGCTAGTGACACCTAGATTAAAATAGGGAGAGAGAAACAAGAATCTGAGTGTATTCTCGTTGAAGCGAGGAACATATAACATCACAAAACTTGTTTCCTAGCTCTGTATTTTTTAATGTTTAGCATTGTAAAACTCCGAAAGGAGCTCTTTGGGATAAGGCCCTAAGAAAATGAACAGACAGAATTCAAGACAGTGAAGATCAAGCTAGATGTGAGTGGTTTTTGTTTTGTTGGTATTGCTTGGTAAATGCCAACACTGTGTGCATTGTAAATGGATGAACGTGTTGCTACAGGGCTTCAGCAAAAAAAGGAAAAGAGATTTGCCCTTCCCACAGTCCTTATCTGGACTTGAAGTGAAGGATCAACACACTAACTCTGGACTCTGATCACAAGGAAATCTATGGACATTTCATTAAAAATAGAGCATTGTAAGACACAGAACTCACCTGAATTGTGCAAATCTTCATCAATTCTTGGTTCTGTGAGGTGCTTGCTGCAATCCATACCTGTCCAGAACTCCTCGCAGACACACTGTATTTCATGACTGCAAACCTATATAATATTGAATCCAAAGTTTTGAAAACCACCAAAAGAAAGCTCCAGTGATAACCAATGCACATTCCCCACAAATCAGAATGAATTTGTTCATACAAGAATAAAATATTGTTCTGGGATAGCTGGATCACTTAAACACCTTTCCCTTTATAAACAAACAAAATCTATTGACTTTTAAAAATAGGGATGAATGTTATGTGAACGTGAACACTTATGAAACTTCCTTAAACTATGTAATGTGAGCATAAAACATGTTTCAGAGTCCCAGAGGGAAATGAATAGCTTGATTGACAGGGGATGCTACACATAGGGATTATCCTGCTGATTTACCAACCCCTGTAAAGCAGGGTGCTAACCAATTTCCTGTGACCCCTCAGCTCCATTGCAAAAGCCATCCCCATGCAAGGAGTTCAGACCTCTGGCGAGTGTGAACTTCCCTTTCCTGGCAGCCTGCTGGGTGGGAAGGAAGAGGAAGCACAAAACAAGGTGTGGAAGAGCTGGTTTCTGGCCCTACCCTGGGGGTGGGGGGGGTGCTCTTGCTGCCTGAGAGTAGGCAGTGTGAGTGGCAAAGCCCCTCCTATTGAGCAGCTCCTTTCTCTTGACACCTCTTCACTGGGCTACCTTACTGTGATCACTTAAGTTGGATAAACACTGGATGCAACCTTGAAGCTTCTGCATGCAAAACATCTGCTCCGCCTCTGAGTTGCTCTACCCACTTGAACTAAAATGCAAGATTTGGTTCTCTGCTGCCTGTTTTACAAATTTTATTTTAATGTTTACAATTGTGCCACGTATTCCTTTCAGTATTCTAAAAGAAATGTGTCGTTGCTTCTTTCCCTGTCCTCCTTGTTCTATAATGCATTCTATTGTTGGTAACCTCTCCACTTTGCCCAGGAAACTAAAGAATAAACATACTCCATGTCCTGAACAAATATTGCCGTCTGTGCTTCCAGGGCATGAGCTGAAGTTGAAAGACTCCACAGGAAGACATCTGTGCTCCCAGCATATCTTTTCAGGACCACAAGGCGTCCCATCTTCAACGTAGCCAAGGTCTGCATCCTCCTCTAACTTGACATGAGCACCACTGCAAAAGGAGCAACAAGAAAACCTTTGTCAAAGCAGGTTTATAAAATTGAAATCACTTTTTAAAATGTACTTTTGAAACAAAGAGTAAGCAACATAACAAAAACCGTGCTGCATCAGACCGAAGGTCCATCTTGTCCGGCACACAGAGGCTCTCCTACTGCAAATAATTGTAAATATATGTCAAAGACCTTTTGAAATGTGCATTATACATGCTTTTATTTATAAAAGCATTTGGCTTCACACTTTTGGCTGTTGTGTTTTTAAGTTAAATTATTATTATTTAAACTAATTAAATTATGGATGAGGGCCAATAAACTGAAGCTCAATCCAGACAAGACGGAGGTCCTGTTGGTTGGGGGATCGGGCTTCGGAGAGGGTGAATTGAACCTAGTCCTGAATGGGGTTGCACTCCCTCTTAGGGACAAGGTCCGCAGCCTGGGAGTGCTCCTGGACCTGGAGCTTTCAATGGAAGCTCAGGTGACAGCAGTGGCGAGGAGCGCTTTCCTTCAGCTCCGGCTGATCCATCAGCTGCGCCCCTACCTGGAGTACGACTGCCTGGTGACAGTGACACATGCGTTGGTGACTTCCCGAATTGACTTCTGTAATGCACTCTACATGGGGCTACCCTTGAAGACGGTCCAGATACTTCAATTGGTTCAAAATAGAGCTGCCAGGCTGCTGACGGGGACTGGGCGTTATGTTCACATGACTCCAGTCCTCCGACAGCTTCACTGGCTTCCCATTGAAGTCCGGGCCCAATTCAAGGTGTTGGTGATGACCTATAAAGCCCTAAACGGCTTGGGTCCTGGTTACCTGAAGGAGCGCTTACATCCATATATGCCTGCCCGCCCCTTGAGATCTGTGGGAGAGGCCCTTCTCCGGGAGCCCTCCATGAAAGAAATCAGGAGGGTGGGGACTTGGAGGAGGGCTTTCTCTGCGGTGGTGCCCAATCTATGGAATGCGCTCCCCAGAGAGGTCCGCCTGGCGCCGTCGTTATTTGTTTTTCAGCGCCAGGCGAAGACCTTTTTATTTAAGCATCATTTTATTTGTTAATATTATTGGATTTTATCTGGCCAGGGCGACTTATTTTATATTGTTATTTTTGTGTTTTAACTTTATGTCTACACTTTACAAACATTTTAATTTAAGGTTATAATTTAATGTTTGTATTTTAACTTAATATATTTGTATTTTAACTTAATGTTGTAAGCTGCCCCGAGGCTTCGGCGAATGGGGCGGCATAAAAATGTCTTAATAAATAAATAAATAAATAAATATGTAAATAAATACATTCTAATGAGTTATGTGGCACCTGGGGAAGTTTCACACAAGCAGAACGGAAGAATGGAATCTGCTACTTGTGCAGAGATGGAAACAGCTTTTGCAAGCAGTAGAAGCCCTGTGTTAGCAGAACAGTACTACTAGACACTACCCTGTTCTACATTGTGCCCTTTTTGTTTAGGTTTTGACTGATTACCTGCAGATGTAGGACTTGTCCAAATTTTGGAGAGAAATTGATGTGATCTCACCATCCAGCTCTCCAAGTCTTGGGATGTTGGAGACAATATTGGAACACAGAAGATATCCACAAAGAACATCCCTGGAAGGAAAGTTTAAACAAGCCACAAGGGTTCTTTTTTCCTTGTTTGTATACAGTCCAAGAGAAACAGCTTATGCTGATTGACAGAAAGAAATGGTTAAAGTATTTCTTTAACCTAATGTTAAAGAATGTAAAAAATGTAAAAAAAGAATGTAAAAAAATTTATTTTTTTCACCTAATGTTGTGAGCCGCCCCGAGGCTTCGGCGAATGGGGCGTCATAGAAATGTTTTAATAAATAAATAAATAAAAAGTATCTCCAGTTCCCACCAAGCAACAGTTCCCAAAAATGGAAAAATACTTGCTACCCTCAGAAATGCTCAAATGCTTTTGGAAAATGTATTTATTTATTTTATAACTGACTTTCTAATCCACATTAACTAATAGTCCAGGAGGTCTCTCTGGGGAGAAAGTGCTTAAATAAATTCTTACAGTAGCAGTATCCCACAAGTCCCTCCTGCCAACTTTCCCGCATTGCTTCTAGAGGAGAGCAGCAATTAATTTCAGTTCAGCGCTCCACCTGGGGCAGATTCAGACAGCAGCCCTTTCATGGTATGATAGAACCATCTTGTTGCTCTAATGGATGTGAGAACCAAAGCATGCAGAGGAGTTCAACACCTGGCTGGCTACCTTACTGTGATTAAGCAAGCAAGCCAGATGCCCCTGCATGATGCTAGACACCTTAATGTACTTTGTAATATCCTTCACAAATCCATTCTTCCAGGGGATCATGGGTCTTGTAGACATGGCCCATGACCAAGTAGCACTCTGAGGTACAGAATGCAGAAGAGAGCCTACACAGGCCCATGCTCCTCCTTCCACCAAGGTAAGGAATCCCCCAAAATCAGGAATGTCTTTCTTAGGAAAGGGGGAAGGATGGGGCAGTGGACAAGGTAGAAAGGAACCCCATTTTGCACTCATCTATCTGAGGAGTGTTCAGATTTTAGCTCTGTATTTTTACTATCTACCCATCCCAGCAAGAAGTAACTATGGAATAGTAGCTATGGCATATCAACTATGACTGATAGAGCTATGCAAATCTCTGCTCTGGTTGAAAGAGGCTGGTTGCTTCACATCAGGGCCAGCCAAAGCACTGTGTAAGCCGGACATCCACTACAAAGTGGTGCCTCCCGAGCCATGACTTGGGGAGAGGCTGGTCAGTATTCAGGGAGTAAACCTGTACAGTGGGGCCACGGTTAAAATCACGTACAATTGGAAGGCACCCTGACCAGGTCAGCTTCCACTATTTGGGCTGCCATGATCAGCTCAGTGTCATAAGTCACTCTAAAGAAAAAATGATGTTCCTCCAAATCTATGGATATGCTCTTAGGTTAGGGGGGACACTAACGTTGGGAGAAAGGCGAAGATGTAGCTGGAAATTGCAATGGAAGTGAGATTTAATGCTGCACAACTCTGCATGCAGATTTGGAGCTGAGCATGTATATTAAACTCCACTATCTCCAGAGCGACATTAGATGGACTACAATATTTGAGAGTCATAGGCCTAAACAAAATAAAATAAAAATAAAGGTATTATTAAACTGAAAGGTTTAACTTACTCATTCTTGCACTGTATCCAAGTATCTTTCTCTCTGCCACAGTTACCTTTCTCAGTTCCTTCTATATTCAACCGCTCATAGCAGTAGTTATCAGCAGAGGTTACTTCTAAAAAACAGAAACCAATTTCCTTAGACAATGATGTGTACTTTTGATTTAGAAGATAAATATACAGATCTGAACGAGATTAAAACCACACATTATATTATCCAACATTTGAAAAAATAGGATTGTTTTAGTTTTTAATGCATTGTCTTTATGCAAATCAACCTGGGATTTTGAAGTGGGAAGGAGAAGACCAGTAGAGATCAATAAATAAGAACCCTTATTATGACAAGTGAGTTGGGCTTGTAGAAGGATAGAAGTAAAACACACAGTGCAAGAGTTTAGAGTTCTTACTCACTTTCTCCCCAAATATATTTACACTGCCTGTCTCTTGTTTTACATCGTCCTCCAAAACAAATGCCCTGAAGAGAAATCAAAAGGACATAAAACAATATAAAACTCCATTACTATTTAATGTATTGTCCAAAGAGTTATTTACTTGGCAGATTTCAATCTATCTGAATCATCTAAAAGAGTAAAATCAGCTTAATGCAGTTTAGGTCTCACATTTTTCTGCCAGGTAAGTGTCCACAGGTCTGCAGTCTTACTATATAATTGCATGTTATGTTTCTAGACTGTTACTGTAAACATGTTTTTCAGTTCGAGATAAGCTATCCGTAGCATGCAGAAATACTACATTTCCCTATTTACCCATATGATTTTTCTGAATAACCTTTCTGGCATCTCCAAGTGAAGCTAGAAGAGGCTCTTTTTCTGAAACCCTGGAGAGTTGCATAGCCCATACCGAGTTTGATAAATTCGTTCACTGGCTTGGTATAACCTCGTTTCCCTGCTTTCACCAGACAGGTTCAGAGAGCATGTAAATCAGGGGCAAGAGGAATGCTCTATGCCCACATTTGATTTTCACAATGAGCTGAGAATTCCAGTATTTCTACCTTTCCCCAGATACAGTGAACAGAAAGAGAAAGATATAGAAAGAAGAAAGACGAGGAAAGGTTTCTAGAGTAGATCTTGCAGTAAAGTAGAACACTGGACACGTATTGTGCCGTTCTGGTTCATTCTGGTTCTGTGTAATGAGGCATCCAGCAGTGGGTTATCTCTGCTTCCTGCTTCCTAGGAAGGGAAGATATCATTGACCCAAGATTCCTTTTTGGTTCCATTACATGGCCAAGCTTGAAGCAGAAAACCCTGAGGACTCTACTACATTCAGTGAAGAATACAGGCGTCAAGGCCCCTCCCCCTCCCCTGCCACAGCTGGGTGGGCCTAGCAAAGCTGGGGGGGTGCCAGGTAAAGTAGCGGTCGAGACTAAGGACACGGGCATTGGCGGTCAGGCCAAACCAGAAGGAACTTTCATGAGAAGCGTTCAAAGTTCGGTTCTCCATTTGGTGTGAGGAGCACCAACAGTGCAACGTGCACAAGTTAACATAATATCTAAAGAGAGAAGAAAGGTAGCTGAGTGTTGCCGAGAATGGTAGGCAGTTTCTCTTGCTCACAGTGCCACCTGGTGATCCCAGTCAGAAAAACAATGAATTTTGTCCAATTAGATAGACCAATGTGCTTAGTCATGCTCTCGCCTTGCTTCATCTAATGTGAGACCTCCACTCTTTATTTGGGTAACTTTGTTTTTCCACTGTGTATGGGCCCAGACTGTGTTAGTGGGTTTCTCCCAAATTGTAGCATTCCATGCTGGTTATTTCAGACTCTGAACCAGAAGAGAGTTCAGAATTCTTGGCTGAATTCTTAGCAAGGTTGATAAGCTCAGACAGAAACCAAGCCGCTAGTGAGAACCAGACCACGTCCAGTCCAGTGGGAGGGCCAGAGGGAGAGGGATATAATTTAATAAGTCCGATCATTTCAACTAAGTGACATCATGCCTTGGCCCACAAGTGGTTGGGGCCTCTCGGAGGGTGAAGCAAACACATTTGGAGAAGAAATCAGTTTGGAATCAACTTCTTGAGATAAGCCATACTTTCTCTCTCTCATTAGCTGACTCATTAACTAGATGGATTGTCTTTTGCGAACAGCCTCTGCAAACTCCTGCTGTATCACCAGGCCAGACTGGCTGGCCTGCTTTACTCCACTAGTCAGTAATTAGCAGCCTTTCATCTTTATCTGCTTGGAAGGGCAAAATGGAGGCAAGGGAAAGAGACCAGGTCACAACAGTTGGACATCTTCAACTCACCCAGAGCTGTATGAATGACTGTGCTGTGAGTGCTGCTGTGCATGCTGTAGGACTTTTGTAAAAAGTGAGGACATAAATAGAATAAAACAAATAAATAAAACAACACATTGGAACTCTGAGCAGTAGGAGGAGACAACCCACTGTTAGATGTTTCCATCATACCAAGCAGAAGAACTGCAGATGCCTTTGCCTCACCTGAGGTCTTTAAGACTCAAGAGGTCAAGAAGACTATGAACAGGCTTGCTTTGATTTCCATGGGTTTTGGTTAAAGTCTACTTTATTTTAAAAAGAAAAAAAGTCATATCAGATTTGTACTTACCTGCCCATTGTCGCATGAATACCCATCCATTTTGTGCAGATTTGGAGAACACTAAAACAAAAGGAACCACATCATAAACTAAACTAAAACCTTTCAAGCAGTTTTACAGTATATCAGATTAATGTTAAACTTTGTTTTCAACTGGGTAGTGACTCCCTTTTCCCAGCACTGTTTTATTCAACACTGTTACTGAGATAGATAGAATTTGCCTCTCTGTGTCTTTTGAAACATTACCTGACTGGAGTCTCCTGAGCAAGTTTCTGGAATATCACAATCATTCACAGCTTCTCTACATACAACACCTTTGGCTTCAAACTGCAAAGAAAAAATAACATCTGAGCATAACTTTCAATAGTTTAAGACAAAATGCCACAAAGTACATTTCTCTGTTCTTTTTTCTAATTTGGGGCTCTGAAATATCCCTCCAAAGGGCATAATTTTCCAAATATCCAGCTATATTAACAAAGATTTGTTGCCCAGATACAGAAATCAGTTCCACTAATTTTTAACTCATATAAATGAGGGCAACAGATAAGGCTGAAATTGTCACATGTATTAACAGTCTTGTATTTAAAGCAGTGACATGATTACAGAATTCAGTGTGTTTGCTTTATTTAAATCCTGCATTCCTGCCAAAACCTGGCAGTCAAGATGGCTAACAATTAAACCCAGTTTAAAGACAGAAGCTTAACTAAACATAACTTAAAAACTTCATTAAAAACACATCGGTGGACAGTATCATGTAGTGACATAACCTAACACAAATAATGTTCCATTAGCAGAAAACAGAGGCAGTATCCAATGCTGTCACTCTACAAACTCGTAGTGTAGAGGAACTCCACAAAATCTTTCAGTTGCACAAGTGCTGATATACTGCATGGGTGGAGCCCATGGTCCACTCCTGATTGGGATTGTGCATGTGCTTACAATTCTTCCATTGTGCATAATGGAAGCAATGGAAGCAATTGTAAGCATATGCTAGTTGCACTCCTCAATGACTCAAATTATTCAGTGGAATAACACTATGAGTTATTTCATTTTGCAGAATGACAATAGTGGTTAATGCCCAGTGAAAAATATGTGATCAATTAAAAGAACTGAGTTTCCTTATATATACCCAAGGCATCTAATCCTCCAGATTATATTTTTTACCCCAAAAGTCACTACAGCCAAAACAATACTGCACAGTCCAGCCAAACTAAAGCACTGTAAAAACCCACTGATCAGTGGAGGAATAAGTGGAGAATAACCTGTCCCTGTATCATCCTACCCTTGAACTGAGATCTGTAGCAAAGGGCCTTTATGTAATGCTATCACCGAACAAATTCCAGGCTTTTATAGTAGGGTCGGCTCTTTCCCTGGATATTACGATGGCATCAACAATGCGAGATTCACTACCAAGTGAAAACAATCCTTTCTCAACAGGACTTTCAATTAGATAGGTGGGTCTAAGTATTACACTGAGAGAGTATTTTTTGTCCACAATCTGAAATGTACCAAGCAGTTATTCCCACCTGCCACACCAATTTTGATCAGTGCAGTAGACTTTGGGGTATAAGCAAATTGAATTTGGCTAACTTAACGGCAGGTTTTGAATGTGGAGTGCTAATCTGATACTACTTTGATGTTGACCCTTGCTCTCTGCTTGTTCCCTTTAAATAGTTGTTCAGTTTAGGTCATGAAGAAGGTCATTTATCATCTAAACAGGTCATTAAGAAGATATCAGATGTGCTACTCTTTCCTGCAAAGGAAATTCCTGAATAGTTTTGTTCAAAGGCGAATTTCCAGAATATAAGTCACATTTGAGAAACAAAAAGAAGTACACAGCGGGTCAGCCTGCACATAACTCTACGCTATAGTACAGTGTCATAAAAATGTCATGTAATGAGCCTCAGGATTAAATTCAATACAATCTTAAGTGTGGTTAATTGAAACATGCCAGCTCTGTAAACAACTGTTTTGATATTACCTTAGTTCTACTAAACATAGAAATATTAATCAGTTTGTATCATTCACTCAACAAACCATAGTTAATCAAAAAGAGAAGTGAAAGCTCAAATTACTTCCTCACAACCACACCAGAAGAAGGAAGGAAGGAAGGAGGGAAGGAAGGGTATGATCCGAGTCCAAGAATCCCCTAGGCCTATTTGCATAGGTTAACCTATGGTTTGGCATGTTGGGCTAATCAGCTCCTAATCACATATGAAAAACGCTTTAAACTGTTTTTAAAGGCACTTCAGTACACACCTGACATTTGGTACAGCAAAGTCCATTACTGCACTGAGAGTTAGCAGTTAGACTGCAGGCCTTACAGCAATCTTTACCTTCAGCACGACATTCCTAAGGAGTAGAAGCAACTGTGAAACAGTAGTTTGGCAAGAACATCTATAAAACTTTGTTTTCAACTGCCACTCTATTTTATAAGCCATGCAAACTTCAGGAGAAGAACAGGAGTAACTTGGTCATTTGATGGAGAATACGGGAACAAGGTACACTATTAATTGTGGTACAGCATTTAGAGTGTCAGACTAAGACTTGGAAGACCCCAGTTTAATTCCCTACTATGCCACAAAACTCACTTGCCAGTCACCACCCTGCAGTCTAAAACTAACCTGTAGAGTTGTTGTGAAGGACAGAAGGAAGGGCCCTACATATTGTCCTGGGCTGATTGAAGGGATGGCTGAATAAGCAACAGCAACAGAGAAGTTAAAGTCACTGCTCCAACTGTGGTCTGTTGGAACTCGGAGGCACTAGAGAGTGCCAGGAGGTCCCGTGGTGATATATCCACATGCAACTCACAGAGGAAGGGATCATGCTCAAAGTTGGCAATACTGCGCATTCAGCTTCCCACAATCTCCAGAGCCTCTTATGACACACACATAAAGGATTGTGTGTCCAACGTGTCTTCCATATACTTTGGCTAAACTTCTGTTCTATAGCTTTACACTGAACGGGAAGTTTGAAATGTAGCACTATGAGCTGTTCTAAGCAAGAAAAGAAGTCCAGCTGCTCTTTGAGTTTCTGATTTGCACAGCTCTGGATTCAAGCTCCTTTTCCATATATTTCTTGCCGATCCCTAAGAACTTCTGAAGAAGTCAAAGGTTGCCCATTTCAGCAGTGTCACCAGTTCTTTGGAACCCTCTCCAAGTGATGTTCAAGAGGCAGAAACTGTTGCTATTTTAAAATCTTGTTGAAAACACACCCCTTCTTCACACAGACTTTTCTGTCATGTGAAGAACTCTGCTATTACTTTGCTTTATTCTTTATGGTATTATCATATGTTTAAAAATTTCATCATTTTTCTTATGTTTATCTTGCTTTTGTATTGTTAAATTGTGTATTTTATGAACTATAAATAAAATGGTACAAAAGTATAATAAATAATTATACTACAATAAATAGAGCACTTTATCCAATGCTTATTCAGTCAGTTACCCCATATATCTGCTATAATTCATGGTGGGGAAAATCTCCTTTACAGTCATGTGCTATATGGAATTACTGAAAGTCGGGAAACAGTTTAAGATGGCCAGGGAGATACTGTCATGGCATACAATCACTTTGCATCACCCATCTAAGATGGGAAAGGGAGTCACATGTGCCATTCGTGGCACACTTCCCCATCACTTCCCCACACTCCCAATGAAAGAAGGAAGCCAGATCCTATGCAGTGAGTGAGAGCATCCCTTAATCTGCCCACTCCATAGAAAAGACATTTAAAGTTCAATATTCAGGATACTGGGGAAGCTGTTTGTTGTTGTGTGCATGCACAGTGGTATGTACAACAAGGCACGTACATCTCGCTTCTCTCAAAATGTGGCTGGAAAGAGAGACATTTATAATAAAGGAAGTTCGGCTACATTAAAATACTTTATTCACTTTGGGCTTTTGGGTTTTATTCTGGTTTCAACTTAGGGTTTTCTGTTATGCTTTACTAAATATATTGTATGGGCTGTAGTGGAAGAATAGTGAGCTGATTATTAAGGCTCAACAGGTCATATAGTGAGCTTTTCCTGTGTCCAAAAGCCAGGGTAGTTTCTTGGAACCATGCCAAGGCCATATAACCTCCAGTTTATTAGGAAGGGCACCAGAGATGATGTCCTTGCAACTGCTTTCCCCAATCATTTTATAGTAAGAGCTGCTTTGTTGAGAAAATGACACCATTTTCTTTACTTTAGCAGCTTCAGTAAAGAAGCCCTCTCTCCACGAAAGGCCGGTCACAGCCTGGGCATGTACAGACAGCGTCTGGAGCAGCGGGAGAGGGGAACGTCACACAATCCATGGCAAGAGGCATGGCCTTTGGTTCTCAGCCCAGGAAGAGAAAAGGTCGATGCAGTGCTTACCCAGGCAAATTTGGAAGTTCATGAAGCACCCCCAGCCTATTCAAGCAACCAATAAAGCTATAGATGAAGAGGGGCTGACCTAGGTGGCTTCGTTTCTTCCCAAGTCTCCTCAAAAATCAGGTGCTTCGGTTGCACCAGGCCCCTAGCATAAATATGCCATATTACTGTATTTTTATGGTTTTACTTCAGCTTGTAAACTGGCCAGAGAGCTTAGTTAATGCATGGTGAAGAAATCTTAGTTTAAAAAGTTAGGAATGGGTTCTTTACTATGGTCAGCTCTTTCATTGTAAATAATTCATTGTAGAACTTACTGTTTCACTGCCACAATCACACTCTTCTCCAGCTTCAACAAACTTGTTGCCACATACTGGAGGATCAAGGAGCTGCAATACCATACATATATAAATATTACAAATCTGGAACACTTTATCCATTTAAAATGTTTTCTCTCCCCACCATCCCTCTAAGTTATTAGACTTACTCCCAACGCATTCCATAGCCTACATTCCTCCATCCAATACCCATTCATAAAGTGTGAAGGAGTTCTTCAGAGCACAGCAGCTAGCTCTTCCCCACTACTCATGAACTTTCCTGTTCACATACATCTATGCGTATCCTTGGGGCCTTTGCAGACTGAGGTTGAGTGCATGTTGGTTAGAATGGCATTGCTGGGGCATTCCTTGGCATCTAGGAGCTGAAGCTATACCACTTATTTTGGGTAGCCCTTTTATGTATTTGTAAGCAAGCACCTGGAAAAGGTTCATGTGAGTTATATATAAACCAACTGTATATGCACGACTTATTCAACTGATAATGGGCTTGTATCTCTACTAAACATGCATGTTTGGACAAAAAAGTGTTGTACAAACTCCCAGCATTCTCCAGTTAGCCATGATGGCTGAGGAATCCTGGAAATGTAGAACATTCTTCTGCTTATACTTGCATAGAATTATGCCGTAAGAGAGAGCATTTAGCAAAATTTTTATTTATGGAGAGCTGCTGCTGCTGCTGCTGCTTCTCCTCCTCCTCCTCCCCCTCCCCCTCCCCCTCCTCTCTCTCTCTCTCTCTCTCTTTCTCTTTCTGAGTGCTCCATTTATTTATTTAAAATTAATCATTTCTATCTATGAAAAACACCCAAGGCAATGTGCAAATTAATCCACTCACTAAAATGCACTACACTAGTTCTCACATCCTGAGAAACCATAGCTTAGCAAGATGAGCAAAAGTCAGAATGAGTCTGAATAAGCCTTAAGCAGACATGAGGGAATGAAGAAGGACCTTGGAAGCTTTATTTCCAAACTCCACTGCTTCCCCTGCTTTCTGAATGTGGGGCTGTGATTAACATTAACTATGGTTAACTTAAGGATGAGCAACTGCTACATTACAGGGGCAATCCCACCCCACTAGGCACAATTAATGAAATTGGCAGCAAATTACCGAAAATTGGTGGCAAATCACTAAGGCAGCTGGAAGGGCCCACACGTCTCACTGGCCACGAGCAGCCTTTACCATCTCGTGCCACAGCCCCTAACATGCTGCTGTAACTCTTTGCAGCAGAAAAACACAACCAGCTTGCTGCCAAAAATGGTATCTCTGCTGTTCCAGCCAGTCTTACAAGTCCCACCATTCTCTTTCAGGTTGCTAAGGCAATCTGAAAGACCAAATTGCACTTGCTTTGAATTGAGATTTAGCTGCGTCAGGCTTCTGTAGCCACAGCAAACAAGTGTGATTTGGCCTATTTAGGTTACCTTAGCAGGTCGCTGTCAATTTTGTCAGTAAACTGGCAATGATTTTGCTTTCACAAATTATTGCAGTGTAGTGGGGACCACAACAGAGGCTCCATGTGGCCTCTGTTCTCTGTATTTCTGTGATTTAAAACAAGCAAGTTTCAGAAACCGCTGTTTGGAATGGGCTTTTTTTTCAGAGAGCCATAACTAATGTTAACCACATACTGCTGGCTTGAACAAAGTGACAAACTGTAGTTAAGAAAAAGTGAAAGTAAACGCTTCCAAACTTTTTATCCCAACCACGCAGAATGAGACGAGGGGGCGACCTGCAAATCCACAGACCACTCTGGCTTCTTTCAGTTTATGCCCATTGCACTAAACTGCTATTAGTGTGACACGTGAATACAAGCGATGCAAACGAAAAAGTTGCACGTGCAACAAAAGGTGGCAAATGAAATTTCAGAAGCTGATAAACCAGGGATATCATACTGTGACGAAAAGCAAAGCTAAAGTGAAAGATGTACAATTCTATTTACCACAAATGATTAAGACTACTGGGAAAGGGATTTTTACTTAAAAATAGATGCAGCTTTATGTTAACTTACAGAAATCCCTGAATAAAGGGGATTTATCATCTCCATCTGTTATTGGGTATTCTAAGAAAAGCCACACACACAAACACACACAGGATATATATCTCCTGTGCTCCATTAGGTGAAACACTTACAACTGTACTATGGTGGTTATGCTTTAGGTTTCTCCCTGTAGAATAAGCTATTGAAACAAGCTGATGCACTTTTTTGTTTCATCATTACTCTTCCACGAAAAAATATGACATGAATTACAAATTCTCAATGAGATTTTTTCCACAGCCAAGATCCAAAGGAGTGTACATACTTAAGAGATTCCATCAGTGTGTGCATGCACACACACAGAATTTCCACACACAAACACACACAAAGTTCTATTCTTCCTTCTTCATTTTTTAAAAATTACATTAATACATAAGGGCCAAACTACAAAACAGAAACTAACAGCACTTCTAATATAAAAATGAGACTCGGGGCCTGGCATTTTCTCCATGCAATCAAGCATCCTAAATCCAAAACTGCAAGGAGATTTTTTTTAAATGGACAGCTGATCCCTGTTATGGGAATAGCTGGAAAAAATGCAAGTCACTCCAATAACAGAATTAGGTGCTAGATGTGTCATTGTATAGCAGGGCTTATTTATGTGATTTTGGTGAGTCTCCTGAGAAAGAAAATTCCCTAACTGCAAGCAGCTCTCAGATTCATGGACAGTCTGTATGCCAGCAGGAAAATTAACAGCATACTCTTGGCAGCCTAAAAGAAAGCAATGATGCACAGGGTGCTTCCAGATGAGGCTTTTTATTACATAGCTGCCCTCCCTCACTCATGGAATCGTACAGGTGGTCTGGATGTTGTCAGTTTCCACTTGCAGGCCTCCTTTGTTTTCCCACTGCTTCCTCCATCTCTTCTTCATTCTTCAAGGAGTCTGTTAAGGAGGGGGAAGTGGAATAGGTGCAAAAGTTCTTTTGGCTGGCAGGTGGTGGAAGTGTTTGGATAGCACGGTCCAGCATACTTTCCCATTACTAATAACCAGTTGTATGAATGCAGCCATACAGAGTAATTAGCCTCACTCATGTGATGTATCCATGTTACTTAGCTTGAATCCAATACCTGAAATTAGGTGTAGGAGAAAGTGGAAAATCAGCATTTGTTCTCATGTTGTCTCTGACTGATGAGACCCAATGAATGAAAGCTCTCCAAAATGCCCTATCCATGACATCCCTGCTTCGCTGTTCTAAATTCAAGGCTGTAGCTTCCTTTGTGGAGTCAATATCGCTCTTCTTTGGCCTTCGTTTCCTTCTTCTGCCTTCAATTTCCCCAGGATGATTATCTCCTCCAGTTCAGTCTTGCCTTTTCGAGATGTGTCTCCAGTATGACTACCTCAGTTCTGTCATTTTTGCTTCTAGGGAAAGCTCTGCCTTGATTTGATCTACGGTCCACTTGTTCATCTTCCTGTCAATCCAGGCTATTAGCAAAGTTCTCCCTCAGCACCATGCTTCAAATGTATCCATTTTCTTCCTGCCAGACTTCTTCACTGTCCAACTTCCACACCTATACATAGGTCAGGAATACCGTCACGTGAATGATCTTGGCCTTAGTCTCCACTGCAATATCCTTACATTTGATTATCTGCACTGCTTCCTTCATTGCTGCCCTTCCCAGTCTCAACCATCTTCAAATTTCTTAGCTGCAGTCTCCCTTTGAATTGATGACTGAGCAGATGCACACAAAGAGAACGTGGGAAACCAGCACAGGTGTAGCATAATGCACTTACGGTTTGAAAAGTTTAAGAAATGAGAGGGTAATGTGGTACCTGTGAGTACCTGAATGCCCTGTACGGCTCTCTCGGAACCCACTAGCATGCCTTACCCTTTTCATTGAGCTTAATTCCAAAAATGCCTCAGCTGCAGCTGGGATCTTTCCAAGACTGCTGCACTCTTTATGTTCGATTAATGACTCTGGGCCAAAGATGAGGCTGAGCAACATTTTTAAAAACTGCAGAACGTGGATGACTGCAAGCCATTGGTTTCCTTTGCTATAGATCCAGACACCAACACAATGAAGTGGGGAAAGAAAAAGCCTCTCCTGTCTTTCCATCTGATAAGTAGAAGGGAGGCTAGTGAATACCAGGGATAAGCGAGAGGAGTATTTTGGGGCTCAGCCCATTCTCTGCCTTGCCTTTACTCTTTTGAGTCAACTAGGTGTCCATTGCGATAAGCCATACCTCCCATGGCTAACATTTTGCTGCGGTGCCCATGGAAAATTTCTTAAATGCCCAAATGTACTGATGGCCCAAAAAGGTTTGCCTAAGCTTAACCCTGAATAAGTGGCACATAACAAGAATCACTGCACCACCTTCCATTTGCTTCCTGGCAAGCCTTTCAGCACCATGGCTGTGATTCCGAGCTAAGAATCTGAGCAGAGCAATAGAAAACATCACTGTTCGCAGTATCAAAATACCATTACCTTGGAAGGCTCATTGAAAAGGCAGGCACCACCTCCATTATTTAAAAATTCATGATACTCTTCAATATCACATTTGGAGAACTTGTTTGGAAGGTAATAGCTGTGATAAAGAGGGAAGCGGGTTATTTCATGACCCTCAAGGACTTCTGCAGGACTGAAGAGTCACTTTTTGCCAGTCATTTTATTAAGCTATTTTACAACTCATTAAAAGAACAAGAAGAATCTTATCAAAATGACTCACACTTTCTGGGGCAATATCCTAAATAATTTAATTAAAATTCCCTTTCTCTGGCTTCTGTTATTCATATTTGCAAACTATCTGGAGCATGGGAGAAACATTATTAAGCTGGAACAGGATACAGCTGGGACTCTTAGAGTGGTTTTGCTCACTTCTAACAGTGCACAGAACAGCAGATGTTCCTTGCATTTTAGTTTAAAATGCCATCAAGAAAATAAACAGTCATAGTACATAAGAAAAAGATCTTGGATCATTAGTGGAGCAGAAAAAATGTGTGAGGTCTGAATTTGGCCTACATGAGGTTTGAATTTAGTTTATATTATGCATATGCTTCACAGAGATTGATTAGCCTGGAGGAATACTTCATGTTTTAATGTTAAACATGCAGTTGATGCTTTCATTTATAAGTCTCGTAGCTCAGAGGAAAATAGGCTAAGTTCAGTTTAACCCTTTACTTGTTGTTAAGCAATATGAAGTCAACTATATTGATACACAGTTACCTCTATGATCTATTTTCAGATTCCTAATCAGTAGGATCTGAACTAGTTCAGATTTTACATCTTATTTGGCAAACTATGTTGAACTAGGAAGAGCTCTTCAAAAATATCCTCCTCCTATTCCATTAGTCAAATGCCAAATGCAAGGCGAACGCAGCTGCCAAAGGCCTAGAGGACACCCTGATGTCCCCAGCAGAGTGCCATCAGCACTTACCTTGGTGCTTGCCAGGCTCCTTGCCCCAGCTGTTTTTACTTTCTTAAGATTATTTTTTAAATATTCCCTTTTTAACACTCCAGCATCACTTCCATGTGGGTTCAAAAGAAGAGTTTTGCATTTGGGAACAACAGACTCCAGCTCTGCCTTGCACTCACGCTCTCTTTTAGTCTCATCAGTTTGCTTTAGGAAAGGAGCTTTTAGTGACCTAGTTAATAGCCCGGTGTACCTTGGTGGCTGGTTTATGAATGAACCAATACTTATGGCAGCCACTTGTGAAACCATACACAAGTGGTATATGGTTTTTGGTCCTGTGGGCAAAGGACCAAATCAAAACTGTAAATGCATCACCAACCCAAAATGCTTGGAGACACCTGATCCACCTAGTGTAGCTTCCTGCACTGGAGAAGCACATGCATTCTCCTCTTCTTCCCTGCCTGGTGGCTGTCACAGCCAGATGGTGGTTCAAGCCCAAGCATGGAGCTTAAGTCAGCTTAAGTCATCCACAGCTTAAGTCAAGAGTTCTGGTCCAAGGCACAAACCTGGAGAGCTCCAAGAGGCACTCAAGCTGTGGATGCACAGATGGACGAGTGTAGGCTCAGGAGTGAAGGACGGAGGGTGAAAAGGGATGCAACTGGCTAGCACTGCCTCCACTAGAAGGAGCATCTTGTGGTTGAAGGAGTCCTGCTGGTGGTTTGCGGGGGCTTGGCTCCAACAGTGCAGAGAGACCACGGCTCAGACTAGGGTGCTCCAACTCCTTAAGCTGGGGAGGTGCTGCCCCACTGATGGCGGCACTGGGCCTTCTGCAGGAATGGGGTAATCTAGGGTAGCAGTTTATTTGAAATTTATTTACTTATTTAAAACTTTCATATGCTGTCCTTTATGTATAACATCTCAGGACAGTTGAGTGTAAGATATCACTGAGCTGTCACAGCTATTAGTTGTCACCAGGCCGATCTTCTCCAAGCCCCTTTAAAATCATGTAGAGGAAGATGAACCATGTCGGACCCTGTGTCTCCCTTTAGCAGTTTGGTAATCGTTGAGCTATTTCTATCCTTGGCTTGAATCCAGATTTAAGAGCACAAATCCAGACTAGCAGAAGCAGTCTGCCCCTTCCACCGTAGCCGCTCCAAACCCTGTAAAGAGCTACATGGAATGTCAAGGGGACCTTGACAATGTGCCATGGAGGCAGAGGGGGATTGTGGGAATTCCTGGGGCACCTTCCTTGAGAGGAGCTTTGCTCACAGAAGGTGTCTTTACCCAATTTCCAGTAACACCCTTTTTCCTCTAGTAGCAGGCTGCCCTTTTCAGTAGCGTCTTCCAACCCTCTGTGTAGGAATGTTGGGATGCTGAAGGAGGATTTGCTGTGATGAATAAGGGATGGGAAAGTCTGCTTCTGCTGCCCCAGTTACATGCACCCAAATCAGGATCTAACCCACGATGCCTCAGTCCACGCAACATTAAATGACTGGATGCCAGTTTAGCAAAATGCTTTACATTTTCTGTTAGTGATGAGTGGGTGGCTCTTTCTGATGCTGTGATAATTACATTTTCACTGCACAGAAGCTTTTCCAAAGAAATACTTACCCCGTGTCTCCCATTATGCATCCAGACCATGTATCCTCACACTTGCACTCACCTAAAATAAACCATCCTTTGTTTGATATTTTAAATCATCATTATCAATAGAAGAAAACAATCATGGACAAAACAGTGAGTGAGGACCTAAGCATAAATAAGAATAGATTGGTAATTGCATAAAAGGAAACTTCCAAAAGTGAAGAAAAACCCACAATTCTAAAATATATAAATGCAAAAGTACTGCCATATTAATTTCCAGAGGAGTACTGATTAGTTTGCCTTGCAGTTAAAGATGCTAGAACAGTGATCCCCACAGTGGGTGGTACCAGCCCTCTGGGGGCAGTGGAAAGATCGAGGGGGTGGTTGGTTGTTTTAAATTTGCAGTAGAGCAATAGACCTAATACAAAGAAAGAGGAGTGGGGGCACTGGGGTTGTTGCTCAAGAGGAAAGGGGGCAGCAGCCCAAAGAAGTCTGGGGACCACTGTGCTAGTAGATTTGCTGTCGCTCTATAATGCCAGCATTAATGAGTTCAGGCATACATCATCCTTATTTAGGGGCAGGGGCAGGAAGAGCCAATATATATAACTGGATAAATATCTGATTGCAAGGAAGACTTGTCTAATGCATACAGAAGAGAATAGAAACACTAACATGCACAGATACCAATGGAGCAACATGGCTGGCTGCAGTTTTGAAGTTTCATTTTGGAGGTGTGGCCACAGGGGATGGTTAGGAAAAGTGCCCACACTTCAGCATTGGCTGCTACCCCACTGCTGGCTACAGGGGCACTGCCTGGATATGCACTGGCCGTCTCTATTAGGTTGGCAGGCACAAGGAGTAGTGCCTTTTCACCGGCGGCCCCACCCTTCTAGAATATCCTACTATGGGATGCCCAGGTGCTCCCTCCCATCCGCTTTTAAATGGATAGATATATGCCTGTTTTTATTTTATACATTTAAATCTTTTACTGCTGGTGTTATTGAAATGGTTTGTGACACTGCCACTTAACTATATTATGACACTGCCCCCTTTCCGCCTGGCGCCATCATTATTTGTTTTTCGGCACCAGGCTAAGACCTTTTTATTTAAAACTTATTTTAAGTGTTAATTTATTATGTAGGATTTAAAAAATTTTTAAGCCAAGATGCACCGGATTTCAATATTTTTAGTGTATAACTTTGTTTTTGCATAATTTTGTATGTTTTTGTTTTTGTTGTGAGCTGCCCCGAGGCTTTGTTGCGATGGGGGCGGCATAGAAATGTTTTAAATAAATAAATATATTGTGCATCTTCATTCTTTTACCATTTTACATATTAAAAGTGGCATGTAAAAAAAGTGGTATAAAAGCTTAAACAATATCTGAAAGTTTTTCAAATACTTTAAAGAAGCAAAGAACTAATTGTTCTGCCTGAAAAAACAATTTAAAAGAAAAACAATCCGGACTCCTTACCACTCTGCAGTTTTCTCTTGTCTGAAAAAATACCAAGATTGTGAGCTAAAGACTGTGCCAATGTAACGGACATTAAATCCGGCTTTCCAAACTGAAAAAAAAAGACAGCAATTGCTTTACAAAGAAAGTACACACATTTAATAAAATTTAAAATAATGGTCCTAAAGCAAAAGCCAGTACTTGTACTGAAGCAAGCTTATGGCATCCATTCTCCAGGCTAAACTTTGCTGCTATCTATTGTCATGGAGCAGATGCTGAGCACCTCCAAGCTCAGAGGCTGCTAAGCATCCAGAGCAAGGTGTGAGGCACGGCTGCGGCAACCTCTAGCACCTCCACACCTGGCACCCTGCATTTCATCTGGACGGCTGTTTTTAGCCATCCAAATTGAGGGGGAAGGTAGGAGACTGGGGCACCAGCTGGAACTGGCACAACCATGTAGCCCCAGCCCCTTCCCCTCCCTGGCACTTCCCCTTTCCCTCTCAGAAGCACTGTTGTGATGCTGGTGGGGGGGGCAGCTGGTGCATTTCTTTCTGAGCCTGCTGGAAGGAGGCAGGCAGGTCTTAATCTTGGTGGAGGCAAAGCACTAAGATCATCTTGATGCTCAGACTCGGAAAGGTCCCCCCAGACAGCATCAGGAGGCCACAGGATGGCACCCACTGAAAGCACTTCTGAGCATGGGCTAAATGGCAGCTATAATGAGCAAGCTGTGAAACGGAAGTAGCAGGACAGGTTACATACATGACATTTGTCCAGAGATGTAAAGATCAAGGGAAAAATCCTAGGAAAAATAGGCAGAAAACCAGAAAAACATGGAAATTCTTTCTCCTTGTTTTTTCTGTTTCTTTTATTATTGTTATTTCAGGGGAAATTATTTTTCCCCCAGATCCGTTCCAAGCCTTCACAGCTTCCCTTTTCTATATGATTACATCTGGTGTGCCAGATTTTGAAATAAGGATGGTGTCACTATGTGGGGTGCAACCTGGACTGGAGTCTTGGCATGTGGGGAAGCGGGGTTTCATCCTTCCCCCTTGCTCAGTATCAGTCTAAGTGAGGGAGCTCAACAAATGCTACTTGCAATAAAAGAAAATCTCCATATGGTACCTATGCCATTAGGCACACTAATTCCAATAAAGAATGAATGGAGGCAAAAATTTAAAGACTCTGACAACACAGTCCTAGTCCAGTTCTCCTCTCACTTCAAGCCAGCTCCACCACACCAGATCTGATCCCATGCCAAATTTTGTTTCCAAGAAAATTTGTAGACAGTTTTAGGATCCGTGGGAGTGACAAGAGAGAACTTCAGCAACATTCCTTGTATTATCGGTAGTCAAAGACAGCAGTACAACAAAGCCAGATCCTTTCTGGGAAAGCCCCGGGCTTTCTGAACTTAGGAAATGGGGTGTAAAAGAAGAGCCCACTTCTCTGTAAATGAGGAGGAGCAGTCAAGCTAGTTTTCCTTGTAACCATCCCTAAAACAAGTCATGGAACTTCCAGCTCAAGAGGATTGGATGCCCGTCTGAACGCTCTTCTGAAAGAGGTTCTTTAAGTTCAGGACTAGTACTTGAGGCTTTCCCAAGGTATGGTCCCCAAATATCCTGGTAAGGCACCTGGAGGAAAACCGGTGCATTTCCCATCCCCATCCCCCAATTCCCTGGAAGATTCTTATGCACAATGGAAAGAAATCTTGGCTCTTTAAACATAGAAGCCCACATGGCATTGTTTCATTGGAGCAGAACTAGAGATAGTTTTGAGAAATGATGCTGCAGCAGGATGCACCTGTCATATTGTCTCTCTAGAGTTTCGTAGACCTACCTCATTCACACCGCCACCTTTCAGGAGTGAGCAAATGCCACCAATGTAGGCTGCCCCACTGCGACTGCTCTGAAACTGACTCCCCCTTTAAAACACACACACAGAGAAATAACAATGAGAAAAACAAGCAGTACTTTGAGAACTATATTTTTTTTTCTTGACAGAAACAGGGCCACTCATGACAGAAGGAGTTTTACAGTAACCTCACAGGAGATAAAAGATACATCTGCCTGGGCACCCTTCCACTCTGCAGATTCAGAACTTCAGTGATAAGGCCAAAAACCGTGGGAAGCAATAGCCTAAAAAGCAGAGCATTGTGGGTTTGACACAGCTTATTTCTGTATGGTCTGGATTCTATATGTGACATGTTATGGGGACTAGTAGAGATCAATAAGATGACCTGCAGAGATGCAACACCACTTGTAGGAATCAGATTATTTGAAAGGAGCACCTAAACCCTGGCAAAACCTCAACTGACAGGATGAGAGAGATCCTACCTTAAGTTGTAGGTCAATTAAGACAAACAAGAGAAGTCTAAATATGATGCCTCTTTTACCCCCTTGGAACATAAGGCACAAGAATATTAGAACAGAACCAAGATCAGCCTGGTCCAGGTATATGGAGATGGGTCTGGTTAATTTAAGGTCTTACCAACATCTCCGAAGTCGCTCCCAAAAGCCTGTGACAAGGGTTGCTTTGGGTGAAGACGGAAGTAGCATTTTAAATGTGGTCAAAGAACTTTGAAAACACAGTCACTGCCTTGAAAACAAATACTTCGGAATACAGTAAATGTGTGTTCAAATTACTTTTGTTATTCTTTTGTTTCTGTCTTAAAATTTCTTAAAAGAACAGCAGTGGCAAGTTGTCACAACAACCTAAGGTGAAAGGCGATGCTGACAGACATTTGGTTTAGTCACATATAAAGCCCTGCATAAATCATAGTCCAATTTTAAGAATAAAAAGGGTATGTGAGAGGAGCAAAGCCTTCCCTGTGCCCACCACTCACCTCCCCATAGTGTCTTCCTCCAAATACTTTTCCACTAGGCAAGCTCACTTCCAGTATCAAGGAGCTTAGCTGAGGAGAAAGAAAAGCATCTGGGAGAACATCTGGCAGAAGGGAGGTAAGCCATGGGCAGGGAGGCACCCACTTACCCCTTTCACCCTACCAATCAGAGACACATGTACCATTTTGTGAATTACTGGAGTATAGCCAGACTTAAACAAACTGGTCTGCGGGTCTATGGGTTGTCCTCAGAAATAGCTTAGAGGTGAAATCAAAGGACTTTTTGGATTACTCCAAAATACACTGTAGTCAATATTGGTTACTCAAATGGATATTATAGAAACTACTCTTTGGGCTCAATTGATTAAGAGGCCCACAAATTTCTCACTGACTAGTCATAAAGAAAATAAAGGTGTATTCATTCATTTCCAGTCTAGTATATTTTGGTCAAGTCAATTACAAGTGTACAATGCCTGCATTCCGATGTAATGTGAAACTATACTTTACCATTAGAAGAACAAAACTTGGACTCATAAATTCCCCTGCTTCTCCAGCACAGTTATGAAAGGAAGATCAAAAGCTATTTGCTTCTTTTTTAACTAGCCTCAGGCACCTGTTACATCTAGGCAAACTGCAGTTAATTGTAACAATAACTTAGGAAAACTAACCAACTTCAGTTGTGATCTATGATCCTGGTTTATTTGCTTAAACCATAGTTCAGATTAACCATAGATCCTGATTTAGACAGAATAATAAACATAGTTAAATGAAAATGGAAGCAAAAGCTTTTGATCTTTCAACAGCGCCAGAGGAGTAGGGAAATAAGACCATGATATTAAAGCAGAAGAACATAACACTAAGCTTAAATCAACAGAGCACTATATTATCTAGTACAAGCAAGGGTACTTGCAATTCAGACTGCACCACCCCAAATGGTAACAAAATAATACGAAATTACGTACGAAAAAAGGTGAACCGCATCACTTTTCTCTTTGATAAAATCTCGCCTATATTTCATAAACTCACGCAGAGTCACCAGTGGGTTTTCAGATATGGTGAACTTGTTATCTGTACCCCAGGTTTCCATGGCAACCAAGACTATCCTGGTGTTCAGTTGTTCTTGATAGATCTAGCGCATTACAAAAATGAACAATCATCAAGTTTGGTTTTTTTTAGAAAAAAGAAGATGTAGCTAAGGAGATATTGAACATAAAAAACATTACTTGATGAAGGATAATTCTCATCTCTTTTATGACAGAATAATGGCATAATCCTTTGGCCTTCTCACATCATCTGAGAGGCCCTTAGAGTCTTCAGATTTCCAGCACCATGATGCTTTAGTCTCTGGGCTTGGGCCCTGATATCCAAGCCCTGCCCTTCTCACAGCCTACACAGAAAGAACAGCACTCCTTCCCTGTCTGAATGCAGAAAAGCACCTCAGAGAGGAGAGAAAGGAGCTTGCTGGTGAGGAGGGGAGGAGAGGGGGCCATCCAGATATGCCAGTTCCTGGCATCCCAACCTCTTTCCCTCCTGCTCCATAGTGCTTTATCTAGATGGCTGTACATATAGGATAAGGATGACAGGATTTCATCCAAAAATACCATTTCTCTTTCTAAATGGAATATACTTCAAACTCATGGAAGCTTTGATTCAACAAGTTTAAACACAAGTGCAATTTTAAATATATTAATGGTGCACGGAGATAACTGGGACTTCTACTTGCTAGTCATCCATGCTCAATTGTCAGACTAAACTGACACTGATGAAGAAATACACTACTGCTATCTTACCCCATGACCTGAAATTACTACCTTTGTGATAAGGTGGACAATACATCCAAGACAACAGCTTGTGAATTATACTTACTGTATCTGCCATGTTCACAACCGATTTCACAAAGCTGTTTGTGTGGCCAACTGATAAACGGTGCTTTTTCAACTGAGAAACAAAAGAGAGACAAATGCTGAACATATTCCTGCAACACAATTCAGCAATGACTTTATCAAAGGCTTGCTTTGCTCAACACTTCAGAAAAATGGATTCCTGGCAATCTATTTAAACACTAGCATTGTTTTTCTTAATTCAATATGGCAGCATGAAGGTTGAAGTATCAACTGATAGAAAGAACCTTCTGCAAAGGTGATAGGCAACTATTGCTTTGTTAGCAAGATTAGCAGCTTGATCCTGTATCTTACTGAGTCAGCTTGTATGTCTATAGGATGGGGATTGTACCAAAGGCAATGCCACTTCAATGTTTCAAAATTTGACTTCACTGCTGTGGAGTCTTTCATGCTTATTTGACAGTGCAACTGTCACAACACAACTTTGTTTAAAGGCCAATATGGCATAGATAGTTGAAATACCATACCCTGGAATTGTGAGTATGATATTCCATGGATTCACACCGGTTAATATCTAAGCTGTATTTATATCTACAATTAGTTACCTTAGACAACAGCAATCAAACCTTTTACTAATCTAGTCTATTTTAAAGGATGATGCTCTTTATCAACACTCCACTCTGCCTATTGGGTTCAATTCAAAGTGCTAGTTTTGACCTATCAAATCAAGGTTAACCTTCTTACATATCTGCTAAGATTGTCTCCCTCCACCAAGAGTGATTGGCTTTTGACTATCTCCTTTTAAACATTATAACTAGCCTTGGCATACTTTTAACATACTTAAAATGGATGTCTCAAAGACACCAGCAGTGTATGCTGTTACTTTCCACGTAGGATTTTGTCACAGTGAAAGCAGATTGTACAGCAGAGAAATCACTTAAGTTCTACTTGCAAACTTTCTAAGACTCAATTGGCAAAGACTACATGTCAAGGAATGTGACAAAAAGTTATGCAGAGTTTCCTGTTTTCTATTTAACACTTACGATGGGCCAGCATATATTCTAAAGCTTCTATTGACTTAGGGGTGGGGCTTTTTTTGGAAAGTTCTCAGCATCAGTGATGTACTGTTGCTTGGACTCCAAGGGTCTAAACACCTGGGCCATTTGAATGGAAGTAATGCCAATATTATCTACCATCCCTGACAACTTTCCCTGTTCCCTCTGAAGGCGCAAAATGGATTTTCCCAGACACATTATGTAGCCATGAGCTATCCTTGTTGTAAGGAAACGTTTTCGGGGTGCCTCGGACTTGAATAGATAATACCAACCCACCAGTTTTATAAAAGAAGCATAACACAGAAAGGAGGATCTTCTGCTGCCTGCCTTTTGAGACTCTCCTCAGTGATGAGGCTACTGAGACTGTCATGATGAGTGCCTGCAACTCCAAATTCAATCTCTACTGCTGCTCAGAAACATAAAGAAAAGGATTTAGGGTCCATTTATAACCAGAAGATTCTAAATCTCCCATGGCTGCTACCCTCTTTCTGCAAAACTTGAGGAACTTCTTGTGTGCCTGACAGGCCTGGAATGATGTGTTCAGCACATGTGTTCAGCGTAATGCTAAATGCAATGCCTGAATATAAACAATCATTGCCACTTAATTCTGTATTTTCTTTTTCTTACAAGAGCTGAGCTGGGCTGCCAAGGAGAGGTTAATTTGGAGGGCATTCTTTCATAGGGTCAACAAAAGTCGGAGATGACTTGATGGCACATAACAGCAAATGTCTAGGATTGCACTGTTTGTCATTTTATGTTTTCTAGATCCTTGAGCATTGTTAGAAAAAGGCAATAAAGAAATTATTGAAATAATTTATGGTATGTTAAGGTAAGGGGTATTTTCCAACATGTCATTTCACATCCTGAATCTGTGCGTGCTTTTTAGTGGCGCTGATTCAAATGGTGTTCAGCTCTCCCTGGCAGCTGCTTCAGATTTGGAATATGGCAAAAAAAAAACAAAAAAAAAACCAGCCACTGAACATTCAGAAGTGCATGTGTGTTTTGCTTTTGGCAGTAAACCTACACTTGCAACCATTATGAAGAGCATATTGTTGGCAACCTCCAGTTTGGAGAATTGTGAAAAGAAATGCAAGAAGAAACAAATAATCTCAAAATGTGTTCAGTAAAAAGCGATGACCTTCTTTTCTGCAACTTGAGATGAAAATAATCAATAACCTCTTAGCAGAAAGAGACATCTTATGTAAGAATGTGGATTCTCTCTATATAAATAAATAATTTCCAAGGGTCTAACTTAAATAGACAACTCGCCCCTCACGGAAAAGGAGCAGAGCTGTTTCAGAGCAAAAAGTGAGACTGATGTATGGGAAGCTTTCTGTGGGGTTTAGGACAAGGGTACTGAACCTCTTCCAGTCCAAAAGGGTTCGGGCCAGAATAGCAGAATGTTTTATCCTACAGCTCTTATGGCAAATAGCTAAACCACTGCATGGCAGTGGTTCCACTCCTAACTGGCCGGCTGATTCCCGATGGTGGTGCTGGGGCACTATAGCTCTGCGCCATGGCAGCTTTGCCATGGAGTTCCACAGGGCTCTATTTTGTCCCCCATGCTATTTAACTTCTACATGAAACCGCTGGGAGAGGTCATCAGGATGTTTGGGCTGTGGAGTCATCAGTATGCTGATAACTCCCAGCTCTACCTCTCATTTATATCTGCTCCAGGTGAGGCGGTAGCTGTACTGAACCCGTGCCTGGCCAAGGTAATGGGCTGGATGAGGGCCAATAAACTGAGCCTCAATCCAGATAAGACGGAAGTCCTGTTGGTGGGCAGTGCGGGTCTCCAAGTAGGTGATTTGGACCCAGTTCTGGATGGCGTAGCACTCCCTCTAAAGGACAGGGTCCACAGCTTGGGAGTACTCCTTGACCCAGAGCTGTCACTGGAGTTCCAGGTGGCGGCGGTGGCAAGGAGTGCTTTCCTACAACTTCGACTGATCCATCAGCTGTGTCCTTACCTGGATGAGCACTCCCTAGCAACAGTGATACACGCTCTGGTAACTTCCTGCTTGGATTACTGCAACGCACTCTACGTGGGGTTGTCCTTGAAAACAGTCTGGATATTGCAACTGGTACAGAATAGAGCTGCCAGGCTGCTGACGGGGACCAGCCACTACTCCCACATAACGCCGGTCCTCTACCAGCTCCACTGGCTTCCAGTTGAAGTCCGGGCCCAAGGAGTTGGTTTTGACCTATAAAGCCCTAAATGACTTGGGACCAGGATACCTGAAGGAACGTCTCCTTCCTTATATGCCCTCATGCCCCTTAAGATCTATGGGAGAAGCCCTACTCTGGGAACCCTCTGTAAGCAAGGGGGAAAGGTCACCAACTTGGAGTAGGGCCTTCTCTGCTGTGGCACCCAGACTCTGGAATGTACTCCCTAGAAAGGTACGCCTGGTGCCAAGTTTACAAAAGCTTTTAATAAAATAAATAAATGAATGAATAAACCTTACAAGTAGCATTTCAACATTTTAGAATACGGAAAGTACAGCTGAGAGACTGAGAAACCATCATGGGTAGAGAAAAAGAGCAAAGGCATGAGAAGGGTCACAGCTATCTGAGAAATGCTGGAAGGTCAGAACTGGCTGCGAGGAAGTCTGGAATGGTCCCCGGGCCTGAAAGTCTGCACACAAGTGGCAGCTCCTTAAATCCCTTCTGAATCTCACTGAATTAAGCTGGATAACCAGTGAGAAGTGTAGAGGATTATGGCCTCAAGGCTTTTTAATTAATTTGAATAAATCCTGCCTGAAATAGACAGAACACCTCCCTTCCAGTTTTTAATTCTTCTGTGGAATTGCCCTGATTCCACTTTCGGCCCTGTCTCCTGATTAAAATGGGGGATTTCTATAGCTGGTTTCAGGACTGGACACACAGGCATTCCTTTAAATTTGATTCCACCACCACTCCCATTTATGAAAAAGATGCTCACAAGCAGTCACACACATTAAGACTTTGATGCCGCTGCAGGGAGGACCTGCAGCTCTCACGCATTACCGGCCGCCCAGCTGGAGTCACCAGGTGAGCAGACAACTTGGTAGCTTTATGGCTCCCTAGTGAAGGTTCTCAGACAGAGCATGGGAACCAGTTCACCTTGGAAAAGGAGGGAATCATTTTAATACTGGGGTGGGGGAGCAGGTTGAGAGAGAGTTCCTTGACCCAGCCAGGTTAAATGAACAGACCTAATAAGAAATGTCCAGTATCCCACAGGTCTCTCCTTGTCTCTTTCCATCTCCAGAAGATCCAGATGAAACTTTAGAAGCATACTTCTTTGACTGAACCTTAACAGGTTACAGAACAGTATAAATCAAAGTAGCATTCTCTCTTTCACCCATGGAAGCATCTGCCCATATAAAGAGTTGAATCTAAACTGAATTTCTCCCTCCCCTCCCCTTAAGAAACCTTCTGACTGCCTTCAGGTGGCTCTTGCTGCTTGAGGGATAGGAGGCAGGGACACTGGGCACATTATAATTAGCCTGCTCACTTTGCCTGTCCATCTCCTGACTGGGTCAAGGACCTTTGCCACCTCCCTCCCAGCTCTGATACGTCTCTCTCCTTTTGCAAGACTGACTGCTTCTCATCTTCTGCCTGAGAATCTTCACTAGAAACCTTGAAACTGCCGGACCATCTGCCTACCTGGACCCTCCCAAGTCGTCCTAAGAATCAAATGACTATCTGAGCAGACCATAATGTGTGAGAGCTGGAAGCCTCTCTACGGGGATAGACCTGCTCCTGACATTGCCATTACACTTCCAGTTCCTCTTGGCTGTCTGAGGAAACTGAATCTGTGTGAGAATGTCTTGTCCACGGCATCCTTCACGAACCTGGTGTCTTCTGTGTGTGATGGATTGCAATTCCCAGTCAGCATAAGCCATCTGGTCAATTACTGTACCCCACAGGATGCAGGAAATCCAAGGCGAGAGCTTTCCTGACTGAGAGATTTCTGACCTCTGATCTCAAATTGGTGGATTAAGTTGCATAGTTAAATATACAATTCAAGAAAGAATCAAGACGAAATGGTATATATAATGTAACCGCCCCCACCACCTCATCTTATATAATTACGGGCCATTCTTCTATACTTAGGTATTCTGTTGAAAAAAACCAGGCACCGCCACTGAGAGCACCCAGAGTTGCTTGGATGACATCCGCTGTACAATCAGAATCATTTTGCAATAAGTACTTTAATATTAATCTGTTGCAAAGGTATGCATGCATTATTGATTAGCTTAGAAAGGCCCAGCTTGTAAAACCTCACCATTAGATGATCATTAACAATCATTAGCTCAACATATTTTGTTTCCTTTTCAAATTTGCTTGCATTCTGATGGACCTGCAGAAAGAGAAGGATGAGGTACGTGTTGAAAGCAGCAAGTAGCAAAACATCTAATTCTCAGATCCAGACTCCTGTATTCCCCTCCTTGTGTCCTCATTTTAGAAATACTTAAAAAGAATACTAGACACTTAATTAGCAACAGAATGTATGTCATGCCTTCCAGTGTTTGTCCGATATAAACAAATTGACAATCTCATTCTAATTTGCTTATTCTAACATAATGGGGCAATATTACAATACAATATTGATAGCTGTCTGACCTCAATAAAAAAATGTGAAATTATTTATTCCACAGAACTTCTAGAGAACTTCTGTTCTACAGAAGTATGGATAACAAACAGCTTTCACACTGAGGCTGATAATTTACAAACCCTATGCCTAACCAGGTGAATTTTTTCCTTCTTTAGAGAATCTCTGTTTGCTAGAAGTCTGAAAAGCCAAATACTTTATCTATGGATATTTTTGTAGTGCACCTCTTTCTACTCTAACAGATGCATAAATCAGCATCTGTCTCTGTTTACCTACAGTTTTCCCATCAGAACCATTTGGAACAATCATTATGTCAGGAAGCTCAGCCCCAGTTAGGCAGCACAGGGGTTGCTGAGAAGATCTTGCAAGCTGAAGATAGATGGAGGCCTTTTCTATAGATGCACTTGTCATCAAGGATTATACCACACAAAGGAGGAAGATATAAACATGAAGTCTGCAGGTCACAGTGGGCCATCGTTTGTTAAACTGTGGCTGTGCACGTTCTCATCACCCGGATGACCCTGCTGCAGCCAGGCTGAACTAGACAGCCCCAGGAGTCTCCATCCGCAAAATAATGCACCGGGAAGTGAGGATTTTCTCCAAGTTTGGAAGCTGTCTGTCTTCAAGGATATAGTCAACAGAACTGCATTTGAACAATAAATGTGCATGCATATATATGTATCTGTGAATGTTTATCTCTAAATGTCAGCATACGGGGACATACCTGCCTTTTTCTTCTTTTATGACTTGGTTTCACAATGAACTTCTGTGATGTGGCATTCATGTGCCAGAATTCTAAAGAGAACACACATTCAAATCAATCTACCGGTGGCTTATATACCTATTTCATATAACCCAACGTACCTCACAGGGCTGTTATAGTTATGAAGATAAAATGGAGCTATATAAGCCACCTTGTCTTCCCCATGAGAGGAAAAGAGGCAGGATAGAAATATAAGATGATGATGAAGATGCAGCAGCAGCACAGGATGTTTCAACAGCAGAAAACAGGTGTAAGAGCACAGAGAACAGCTGAACAAAAAGGTCTTTTACCCTAAAGACGCAACATGAAAGCGACCTTGGTATGCTGCACCCTTTAAAATGTTTTTCCACACAAATTGTGCCCCTAGCCATCAACACATGAGAAAGTGATCTATATATTCAAAAGGTATATACAAATAAAATATGCGAGATACTTGATTACATAAACCCATCAATTTTAACAAGTCTCTTGAATCAAAGAACTTAAAGATTTCAGGACTCAGATATTGAGGTAAGCAATCTATCAGAATGCAATCTAAAATGTTGTCATGAGTGATCTTCAATATTCAATAATGACATTCTTTAATCTGTGTGCAATTTAAGTAAGAAAAACACCCACACGTCTTTTGAGGACATTTGACTATTCCCCAGCATGGAAAAATTCCCCACAATCAGAAATGCATCTGGGTGTCAAAAGTAGTACACTGAAACACAAAACCTTACAAAAATCTCCAACTGCCAAGGAAATTAGGAAAAACCTAAGTCCTCAGGTAAAGCATCTGAGTGTGAGAGCCCTTACAATGAAGCATTTCAACCTCAGTAACAAACTGTCAGCACACAAGCAAAGCAAAGCACCCATGCAAGTTTAATTATCCCCACACTGACTGGAAAAAATGGATGCCCTAGTTATGACAAAACCAAGGCCAACAATAAAGAATTCTTAAATATATCTGTTGCAAGAAACCAGTAGGGAGGTAGTTGAATGGCTGGATGAAAATACAGTTAAAGGAGTGCAAAAGGGAGAAAACCAACCTGAATATAATATGATGAAGCCTCTACCAGCTTAAGTTATTATTGCTGATGCAGAGTATAAATTAATGTGAGGTATGACCAGCCCCTCCTAGAAAAAAATGTTTTCAGTGTAATAAGCAGCTCTTCGTTCTGCTGATGACAATGGCACATCTTTCTGAGCAAGTCTGTGGAGGACTGCAGCTTTGGCCAGAGGTGTCCAAAGCACAATTAAATCAGTATTTTAATAAGAACAGGTAAACAGTCTTAGGGTGCAATCCTAGACTTGGCTGGCTGGGGCATGGTTTGAGTTGCAGGATTTTTCTCTGCCTAAACATGCATAGAACTGCATCTTTAATGATAAAAATAAAAGTCAGAACCAGAAGCAGCATAAACGCCTGCTTGACAAACATTCCAGTACTTTACCACAGGCAAAAATTTCCCTATCAGAAAGAATGCAAACAAATTTTGCCATGAAAACTAGAAGCATATCATCACCCACTATTGCTGAACCTTCCCTAGCAGAGACATATGTATAACAGAAAAGCCATTCCTCTGTCTCTATAATATTAAAATCTTTTCTGAGTAGAGAAGAATGACAGCTTTTATGTAACAAATAATGCCTTTCATACACAAAAAATCCCATTTCTGAATTCTTCAAGATACAACTTTAGTTCTATCATGTTTTTAATGTTTCTGAACACACACACTTCAGAACTTAACATTTTATAAATGTTTTAAATTTTAAATCATAACATTCCCCCTGCAAGCATATTCACAGGTACTGAAATGGGTCAAGAGGACAATGGCATAAATGTCTTCATGTTTAAAAAAAAGATCAAAACTCAAAGCACAATAAGTAGATTTGTAAAGTATTATACTTGTGAATATTTATATTTATATGTGTGTGTATATATATATATATTTATATTTTTTATATTTTTATTTATTTTATATTGTTAACTTTAATTTTATATTGTTATTTTTGTATTTTATTGTATTTTATTGTGTTGTAAGCCGCCCCGAGGCTTCGGCAAGGGGCGGCATAGAAATGTTTTAATAAATAAATAAATAAATAAATAATAAATAATGCTTATTGTTTTTAAGCATTTATGTATAGCCTTTAAGGACTATATGGCAATAACTCTGGGTAGAAGTGCCTGACTTCAAAAAAGAGCCACCAAAGGGCAATTCTAGGGATTCCAAGGGTACCTCTCTTGGTGCCCTCCAGGCTCCTTGCCCCTCCTGTTTTTTATAGTATTTCTTAAGATTTCTGATATATATATATATATATATATATATATATATATATATATAACTGAGGCACTGGCATTCTGCAGAGCAAATGCTATCCCTGAGCACCATCTGTATTTGTGTTCCAAAGCGTGGTTTTCTATTTTGGAGCCCGGACCTCCATTTCTGCCTTTCAGTTTGGTTGTTGGGCAAATCACTTTTAATTTCAGCAATTTGAAATGAGTGTTTCGGCATTTTGCGAGAGACACAAGACATTCTCTCAAGACTCCAAATGTGCCCCTTGGCTCCAAAAACTGACAGTGCAATGGTTGGAATGCCCAACTAAGCCCAGAGAGAAGCAAGTTCGGGTCCTCATTCAGTTATGAATGGCCCTAGGTGTCCTTCAGCCAGTCCCACACAGGTGACGCTCAGGATTATTATGAAGAGAAAAGGGGAGAAATGATATGTGGTACTCTCTGTACCTTGAAAAACAGTGAGATAAAAATGGAACACATACACTTTAGAAAACCCTCTGGAAATTCTCTTTCTAATCACCCTGCAAATTTATAATAACTGCCTGCAGCCATTATAGCTACAGACTCCTTGCTGGCTGCACCTACTTTTGACCCTTCAAGACATGAAGTCATTATTGGCGCAATCCTACAGTACATGTGCTTAGAGAACAAAAAGTACGAGAGAAGCATGCCTGAATGGGCATGACTGGCTAAAGAATGCTGGGAGTTGTAGAATATTTTTTCTGTCTCATCATGCATACAACTGTGCCTGCCTTAACTATTCACAGTCTTAAAAGCCTATAGGTGTCCTTTGAAGGCAGAATGTAGAGGAGGAGAGCAGCTGTCTGCTTTCCATTTCCCAGTCCTATAGTTATGCTAGGAAATTTCTTCAGTTTTTAAGTTATAAACTACATCAAAAGCCACAAGTGATTTATGACAGCATAAATGCAGCCATGAAGACCAACGTGTGTGTGTGTGTGTGTGTGTGTTTAAAAAACACTTACCAGATGGAAGATCATCCAGAGAAAATTCAAATAATCTGGATTTGTAGACAGAGTGTGACTGGGTTTCTTCCTGAAATAAGGAACATCTAAATTTAGCATATTAATACAAAATAAACTCCCTCAGAATTTTACCCTAGCACTATAGGGTGTATTAAATGTTGTGTTCAGGAGATGAGCAACAAATTAATGGAAAGTTTAAAGCTTGTTCCATATAAATCCCGGAAATTAGTTTTTATATATGTAGGGGAATGAATGAAGATTAAATTTTAATCTCATTCCTATTTCTGATGAAGTATTCTTGCAAGTCAAAATCTCAGCTGGAACTTACATAAGGATTGCCAAATTGTTTACTAAAGATGTGAAGAACAGTGTTTGTGGGTACTGTACATGTTACTTGCATCACATAAATAGCAATTGAAATCTTACTTACATGTGAATTGTACTTTTCTTCTGGCTCAATAACATACGTGTGATTCCCATCATAGAACATGCCACTGTTAGAAACAGGACAAATATCAGATCCATATACCAAAAAATAGCTATGGGTGCAATCTATAGATTAGACAGGAGAAAGTTCTGCATCTTCCAGCATGCCGCCGCAGGGAGCCCTAAGGATTTCTCATGCATGAATTGGCTAGCCCTGTTCCCTAGAGACTGACATGTATGCCGGCCATGGGGAGTTTCTGCACCTCTCTTTGTGAGCACATTCCTCTTGAAGTGTATGCTATTAATATAGGATGTATTAAACCAGAATTTTTGCCATTCTTCCCTACAAAGCATGTGCAGCAATAGTATTTAGACTATTCTTTGAACAAAATGATTTGCAACCCTCAGCTTGATTACACAGAACTATATACCAGTGCTGCAATGCCCACTGTTTGCCACCAGTGGGCAGCAAAAATGGTAAACCAATAAGAATGCCTTGCTTGTTCTTTGCACTGTTGTATCGTCTTTTTATTAACATCGTAATAACTACAGCTAAGAAGCCCTGTCACTAAGAATCCCTTTCCTTTCCTTTCCTTTCCTTTCCTTTCCTTTCCTTTCCTTTCCTTTCCTTTCTCAGTACATGTTTTGTGTATGATGCGAACTAAATTGCTACATCTGCAGTAACTGATGTTCCACAGACTTGGCTTTCACCATAGCTACATGTGATACAATGATGTAGCCAAATCCCACAAAATCGGTGGAGAAAACCAAAGTTTGGTTGGTCATCTCAAAAGTCTCGAGGGGATGTATCTGAGAAACCCTTTCCTAAATGTTTACATTTCCAAAATATATAATATACAACTGCAACATTATTATTTTCAGCTATAGCATGTGCAAGATAACATAAAATGTAGATTTGATTGTGTGATAGTGATTCATTGATTGTAGATTTGGCTGTGATAGTGATTCATCAGCTTAAGATACAGTTTACTAAAACTTGACTGAACATTAGAAGAAACGCCTTGGTAGTAAGAGGTATTTGACAATGGAATCAGTTAGAAATCTGCAGCAGGTTCAAGTGAGTTTGACATTCTATGAACCTGACTCCTGGATTCCACAGCAAACACATTTTTTTCTGAGTTATGTACATTCTGTGGAGTTGCAGACTTAATTTTCTTTTACTTTATATGGTGATCTGCACAAGTATACACTTGCACAAGTGCAGATTTTCAAACATACACAGTTCTTGTATGCTAGGGAGGTAGCAGAATGCCACCACACTTTCTGGCATGCTCACTTCCCCACATGCATCATACACCATCCAATATTTCATCACCAGTGCAAGTTTTCCCACTGATTGGCCCCCATCACCACCCCATCAGCCCCCCGTCACTGCATCACCGCCTTGTCACATCCCGTCCCTGCTCATGTTCCGCCCACCCCCATTGTTGTGGCCTCCCATCCCTCACCCCATTGGCATCACCCATACTTTTCAAAGAGTCGTGTCAGCTGCTCTGGCAGGACAGCTCTTTGGCAAGCCAGTCACAGGCAGGCCCAAACGCCTGGCGCTGATGTCCTCAGAGGTCACTGAAGCTCCTGGAACGACCCTCTCAAAGGCCGGGCTCTGAGGAAGGTCCATCACAGCCAGCCATCCTGAGAAGTGCAGTTCTGCTGAAACCTCCCCGCCCCGCCCCAGCCAGAGGGTGGGGCTGCTCCAGAGAGTGGGGCCGGGGAGTTGTGACAGCTTCCACCCACTCCATGGCATTCATGAGAAGACAAGCCCTGTGATACCCTTCCATCAATGCCAAGCCATTCCTAAAATGTCAAAAGCTGGGGACATCAAAAGCTCTTCACTGCTTTATAAACTGAGTGTGCTTGTGTATGAATATTCTAATGGCCAAAAAAGAGAAAGGAAGGGATGTATATGCAAACGCATGTCTGCTTCAGATGCAGACTGATCAGGCTGAAGAAAGCACTGAACATTAAAGCCAAAGTTATACCATAACTTGGAAGGTTTCTTTGTGAATCATCAGCCATCAAGCTAGGATCAGCAAAGGGCCATGAGCAGTCTCTCCCTTCATCCAGTTAGCAAACAAGGATCGCAAATAATGGGCCGAGAGCCAATTCTTTACTGTTAAAGGAAGCCGTGCAGCTCAGCCCTGGAGAATACATTAAAATGAACCTATTTTTAGGCAGGTGCTCTCTGCCGAACGTAAGTTCAGCACGTAACCTGACACACTCCATGTCTGGATTATTGGAGAAAACAGAAAGAAAAAGGGCAAATGTTCATGCAAATAGTATGCGATAGGGCAGGGGAAAGCCACAAACCAAATATATATACACATCCCAGCTTGAGAAACATATGCATAATCTGAAAATGTATTTAGAAAAGCGATGCTGAAATTATGGAACCGTCAATCGATACAAAACCCAGAAGATAAGTGCAACCCTTTCAGGGAAACTGGATGATGACAAAGAATCTTGAAATAAGTGCATCTATTTATAGCAGTCCAACTTGCTACATGACCTTAGAAGCAATGCATTGCCAGGGTGAGCCCTCAGCTCTGATGTCCTATCTTGGATGGTATAAATATAAATGAACAGGTAAACAATACTTTGCACTTAGAATGTTCAAAATATATTATATACACTATTTCCATAAACTTGATGAGTTCATGACTGAGGTGAGATCTGAACCAGAGATTTCCAGGTTTGTACAACAAACTGTTTAGCCACTCTATAATTTACAATCCAGTTCTATAACCTGCTATACTTGGTGGTGGAAAACAGCCTAAAGCACAGGGGTCCTCCTGCCAGAACTGCCATGATATAAACCATTTCAGACTTGGCATTTAAAGCCACTACCTCAGGCTGGTTCAGACAATCTTCCCAACTATGGTTTGGATCATTACAACAGGGCAACAGGCTTTGGTTGACTGCTCTGGGTGGTTAGGACAAATCATGGCTTGCCTCATGGTTTAGAAACCGTGATTTAAAATAGATTTCCAGTTCTGGTTTGGAAGCAAACAATGTTTTGTGCAAACCAGGAAGTGGTACAAGAGGAAAAGAAGGCATCCATGCATCTGAGGCTCATTGCCAGTTCTCTAAACCATGTATGTATGTATGTATGTATGTATGTATGTATGTATTTATTTATTTATTAAATGCTTTTATATGCCATTCTAGTATATAAAAATCTCAGGACGGCATACAATATTTAAAAGAACAATTAAAACCACAACAATTTTTAATAAATAGATTAAAACAGAATAATATATAAGACAAAATAGTAAATCACAAAACAAAACAAGAGCGACTGAACGTTAACAGTTGTTGATTTTAAAATACCATTTAAATGAAAAGGTTTCGACCTGGTGCCAAAAAGAGTATAAGCTCTTATAAACCATGTATAAATCATGATTTATATAAACCATGATTTATATGAGGTTGGGCAACATGCAGCCTTCACTGGACTTCACCAAGGCACCCTGCGGCCCAAAACAAGCCTGCATCTGGGGCACCTTTTTACACTTTAGTGCTCCAGAACATCTCCACTCTGGATACCATTTTTAAAAAATTCTTTAACTAGCATTATTATGCCTAGATGAATACCTTGTGCCCAGATCTTGGAGGGAGGCTATGGGGACAGAACTCGCCCACTGGACCTCCTGAAGTTGCCCAACCCGGTTAGACTATTTCATTTGCAACAACCTGCAGAATTCATCTGTTGGAACAAATCCCAGATTCACAATCAGTTCCTCTATGATGTGACCAAAGTTGTGGGAACAGGTGAGCATCATATTCTAGCAGCCCAGGAAGCTGCCTTGTATTGAGTCCACCTAGCCCAGGACTGCTGTTTGGTCCATCCAGCCCTGACTAACAGGAGCTTTCTGGAGTTTAAAGGTCTGATTCTTTCCTACTCCTACCTGGAGAAGTAAGGACTGAGCTTTGGATCTTCCACCTGTAAAATATGTGCTTTATCCCATGCTACAGGCTTTCCAGTCTCATTGCACTGGAATAGTTGGCAGAACTGCTGCTATTCTCTCTGCAGGCACAAGAACTATTGCACTGGGACTTACTCCTGCGTAGACTTGCCTGAACTGAGCTATATTTTATATGGAAGGCTGGAAAATACACACATACACACATTTACACAGGTTCCATGTACCCAGGAGAAATCTGGCATGGCTCCATTCTGGTCTGGCACTCAGTCCCAGTTGCTAAGAATTCATCTGGTCCTGCTTGCTTTGCCCACTGCTGGAATGCCGCACCCCTCCACAGGCATGCTTCCAAACCCTTCCCAAATTGAAATGTGGTCCCTAGACCACGTTGCAACAGCCCTGACTGAATGTACACTAGGTTATCTGATATCTAAATTAGCTTAACCACCATCAACTTAAGAGTGTGGGACCATTCATTCAGCAACCAAACTACAATACAAGTATTTTTGGTTTGCTCTAACTTCTCTTCAAAAATAGTGGCCAACATTCCAGAAGAAATCTGAATTAAAAGATCACAATTATTCACTGAAGAAATCTGCATCCATCTGTATATAAAACATCTCAGAACAACTTACTGAAGTCCATGACATGTTGACAGAGCAACAAAGGATGGTGAATTCCCTCGGATGCGGCCTTGGTAGTAACAGTGTTCTCCTCCCTGCAGTTGGAAACAGAGTTTGTGAGCTCATGTCACATACATCATTTTGCAAACAAGCCAGGGGTTAGATTACCAAACCAACTGGATGAATTAAACAGCTGTTACAACTCTCCAGAGGCTTTACTACATTTTCTGATGCAATAGATAAAACATTTTTCATTTTATGCAGTGATGCTACAGATGGGTCTGAAGTAAGTAGTCTGCGGGCACCGGTCATCACTGTTTGCTCACATTTGCATTAAGGCATGACTGTCCATGTGAACCTGACATGTGAACATCCATATTTTCCAAATTACGGACAAATATACAACCAGCTGTTTGGAAACCATGCTAGTTCAGAGAGCTGGTGCCAGACTGTTGACTCGGATGATTAGTGGGATCCCAAAACTGCTTTGCTGAAAGACCTTCACTGCCCCCCAGACTGTTTCCAGGCACAATTCGGCATGCTGGAGATGAACTACGAAGCCCTGTATGGACTGGCCCCAAGTGATCTGAATATTATTGCATATTATACAACTACTTCATCATCATCATCAACAACAGCAAGCTACTTTTAAGTAGAATCCTGTAGCAAGGGCACCACAGCTGTTCTCCAAAGTGTCTATAACCAAGCAATATACAATGATAATACCTCATGACTGTATGCTGGGTGTAGGTGGCTGGCCCAAAGCACTCAGAGAGCTTCGAGACCAAGTGGGGACGTAAACCTGGATCTCCCAGTCCCAGTGCAACATGCTAATCCTTACACCACACTGGCTCTCGCTGAGCTGCACTATTCTCTCACCACTGGGAGAACACAAGTATGATCCATGTTTGCACTGAATCTGCCCAAGCAAAACAGCCTTTTTTCCACCCAGATAGTCCTTTAACGAGGGAGGCCTGGGTTCAAACCTCCAATTAGCCAGCATGCTAACTAGCTAACTTTCAGCAAGCTGCTATCCTCACCCCAATCTATCCTCTTGTCGTGAGGATAAAAGGAGGAGTCACAGGCAGCATCCTGAGCTCTTGGAAGAGAGGGCAGGATTTCAGACATGATACATAATAATAATCTGATCTTGCCATTCCCTCACACTGGCCTCCTTCACTTCTAACAGGAAAAGGACTTGGGGAGATCAAACAACTGCAGTGACATTGCCCAACGCTTCCCTGGAAGTGCGATTCCCACTGTGGCCATGCTTCATCACTGGCAGGACTCGGTTTGAGTGCCAGCAGATTCGATGTTAAGGATCACAGCAGTGGGGCAGAAACACAGGCTTCTTGGGGATTAGGGGTGTCCTGACAGTCGGGAGGGAGAGAGGAGCCCCAAACAGTAGGGCTGTCTACTGTGGGGCTGAGAGATGCGGGAGCAGGTAGGGCAGGCAGCACGGAACTGCAGGGGGCCTCGCCATGACGGTCCCCATTGCCACGTGCCTTGGGGGAGTCCACAGTTGCAGGCCTCTCTGTTGGCCTCTCAGGAGCAGCTTCTATGCATACGGTGCTTATGGGCCGGCAATGTATGGCACAGGAGGAGCTGCACAGCACACAGATGAGCAGGCCTGCAGTTTGCGGCCTGTGTAAACCTAACTCCCATCACACGGAACGACTCCCACGTAGCACAAAGGCAAGGGTTTAAGGCAGTCTTTCATTCTAATTCTAAAAACTGCACTCTCCAGCTAACGCACATCCAGGCAGTTACTAATCCTCCTGTCACTGGGAGAGCACCCAGTCCTCTGCGGAGCAGGACAGCTGGCAATTAAAAACAGGAATCCTTTCTGAGCGGCTCCCACTGCTGCTTACCTTCTCCATACGTTGGAGGAATTACAGGGGACCACAGGTCTCTATGCAGCCCCAGGGAGGATGCCAGAGGACTCAACAAAAAGAGAGGGGTTGGTAGTGACTCCTTCCTTATGCACCGGCCCACCCCTTAAGATCTGGGTCAGGGATCCTTCTTCAGGAGCCCTCTTTGAAGGAGATCAGGAGAGTGGCTACCTGGAGAAGGGCCTTTCCTGCGGTGGCAGCCCAGTTTTGGAACATGTTCCCAGAGAGGTGCTCCTGGCACTGACACTATATTCATTTCAGCGCCAGGCCAACCCCTTTGTATTTTCACGGTATTTTAAGAGTTGATCAGTTTTAACATTGGTTTTTATCAGGTTTTATTTATTTGATGCTGCTTTTTTACTGTTGTATCGGTGTCCTGAGACTCTGGTAAAGAACGAGGTAAAATGCTTTGGCGAATGAATGAATGAATGAATGAATGAATGAATGAGGGTTGGGTGTTAAGCCAGACCATTATTTGTGGATCCCTGCTTATATCATACCTGCCAGGAACCAAACCATGCTCCAGAACTGGGCTCTTTCAGCCTGTTTCTATTATATAGAGCAGGGATGGGCAACACCTGGCCTGCTAATCACATACCCCCCTGTCCTTTTTGGGGTCCCTCCCACCCCCACTGTCAAAATTCCCATCAAACGTTGCCATCACAATTTCCCCTGCTTTTTAATAGAACAGGCTGTGGTTTGCCACCCAGTACCCTGGCAGGAAAAAAGTGAGTTGTGGGGCGGGGGGGGGGGGGGAGGCTACTTAAATCCTTTTTTCTTGTCATGCTACCAAATTTTGGCAATCAGGCAGCAGGGGCAGCATCCCCTGTGTGTTCCAGGGGAGAAATTTACCCCAGATATTGCCCAGATGGAGTCCACGGAGGCTTTGCCTCTTTGGCTTCAGAATAATTTGCATTTGGGTGAATTGCTACAGAGAAGTCAAACAGGGTTTCATCTACACAGACAAAATGAAATGACCTTGATCTGATCCACAGATTTTATACCTCACCTCTCTCTGTTTATGATAGGCATTACCATGGATGTCTTGACAGTCACTGGCACAGATAAAAATCAGAGCAATCCTGCCAATAAGCACTCTTTGGTTGTGTACAAAGAACGTCTTTTTAACAACCTGAAGCCATCTTCTAAAGTCAATATCACTTACACTGCAAATGTTCACTCTTTCCCTTGCAATAGGCTGTGGTCAAGCCAGATTTCTAGGGGGTTTGTAGCCCCTTCCACCTCTATTCTGCAGCACTTGAAACGTTCCAGCATAAGAAGCCTGATAAACATTCCTGTAATACAACAACTTCGTTTGAGTGCAATTGGCACTGCCAGGCAACCAGAAGTGCATCTGCAGTGAAATTTTTCCACAAGCAAAACTGCATCTCCCCATCGATTGGAAACATTACTAAGCCACTGTTAGCGAAATGTACCAGGAACAAATGAATACCCAAAAATTAACAAAATTGGTTTTTTATAGTAGATGAAATGAGCTTCTACTGTTCTGGCGTGCCTTAAATTTCCAGTAAACAAGCAATGCAGAAAAGTCCGCTATGCAGTTTGGCCCTTCCAGCCATTGAACTAAAAGCATCACTTCCAGGTAGCAATAAAATGCCATCCTTCTCAGCTCCCTTCTCGACATCCTTTAGCCACCAACTTCCACAAGCAGAGAGAATCAGTGACATTATTTGCTAGTCATTCTGTTGCCCTGACTTGGTCAAGCTAATGCGTTTTGTGCTATTTCTGAAATGCCAACCACTGATTAGCCTTTTTTTTCCCCTCCAGCAGGCAGCCATTGCAAGGTTACTGGGTAGAGAAATTGCTATCCTCAGCAGGTCGCTAAATCTAATTACCAATTGCCAAAGTGTACGCAAGTTTAAGTCAGCAGCAAGATCACGCACTGTTTCCAAGTTTTTTATATACGTCCTTTGTAGAGACGAGGTTCACTGTGGAGGGAAGGAGGAAGCAAATGCAGAAGGTGCTTGGCTAAAGTGGTCTTGTAACATTTTACACGTTGCAGAGAAAAGTTCCACACCTGCCAGTGTTCCTTAGCCAGCATGGAGGCCTGAGGAATGTGAGCAGTGTAGCCCGTTTTCTTTCTATACATGCAAAGGTGGCACCTTTGGGGTGACGTGAAAACTCAGCTGCCAGGAAAACTTTCCTCAGGATACAATGAAGCTTCAGCACTGAACTATGGCGAGCCCCTTTCCCAACCTGCCACCCTCCGTTCATGTTGGCCTACAACTCCCCAAATTTCCAACCATGCTGAGTGATGCAGCCAACGCATGGGGGGCGGGGGGGGGGGGACCAGGTTGGGACCAGCCGACTTAGGGTGAGTAGCACATGACTGGGTGGCTTATACTAAGAGGGGCAATCCTGAGAAACTCCCAGGAGATTTGGCATGGCTTTTTAGAAACTGGGAAATCTGGAGAAACTTAGATGGTTCGGAACAGTCTAACAGGCATTAGATACGCTGCCAATACATATGATGAGGAACATCTATTGCTTGGAGTGAAGGGCTAGGAAAACATTGGGTTTCATTCAGTCTTATACTACCTTTTCAAATCAGTGGGACTTGAATTAGCAATGAACTGGCCTTGTGTGCTAGATCCTGGATCTGCCTTCCAGGAACAGAAGGGCAGATCTGGTTCTGCTTGATGGGGGTATCCCCTCCCCCTGCAACACAGTTCACCCCATTTAGCAGGGTCCCCCAACCCTCTGCATAATATATTCAGGGACCTGGAGAAGGTGTCAGTGAGAAGAGTGAGTGGGCTAGGGCACATCCTCTTAAATTGCCTAATTTCCCCCCCCCCCATCATGCCTAAGTTTGGAATCTACTCTGTATCTTTTTCTTCCATCCATCCGTCTCTCTTTCTGTCTCTTCCTAACCCTTCCACTGATTGCTAGAACACACATGAAGGAGTAAGGATAGACGAGTGAAGACTTCTACATTTTCTATATCTCAGTGGTCAACAGAAAAATGTACATTATCATACTTGCAACACTATGTGTCCTTCACGAAATCCCTTCAAACTGGAAGAATAATGGGAGGGGGTGAATGGAGGGGGCTGGGTTTGGGGTGCACGTAGATGCACACATCTGTTTTTATTCAAGAGTCATAAAACCTTCACTAAAGAGTTAATAAAAAGTATATAAGTTTAAGACTTCTGCTCTGTACAACACCTTTAAAATTAATGTTC